GATGTGGAAAATTTCTTAAAAGAATTGATAAATATCATAACTCACAAATCATGTTTTTTTTATTCCATATTTTTCATAGTATATTTGGCCTTTTCTCTAAAAATTTATAGAAATCTTGGATAGATGAATACGGATAATCTATTTCCCTCATTTGACTATTATTCTGATTCATCCATCGTCAAATGAAGGTAAAATTTATTATTTATCCATGGAGAAAATTCTGATTACCCGTCATTCTTGACGGGCTATCAGCTAGTTTATTAATAAAAATTTTAGACATAAAATATTCTTAAATTAATCATTAAAAAAAGTATTAAAAAAAATCAAATCATACATTAAAGTTTTTATATTTTAATAAAGGAGAGCGCTCCCGGAGTGGAAGACTTTCGAAATTTATAAAAACAACAATCTATATTGAAATACCCTAAAAATTTATGGAAGTTTAAAAGTGATAAAACCTTCAATCCTTTGGCCCCCTTTGATCCAGGTATTCCTGAATTTCCGACAGCTCCCATTTTCCCGGGATTTCCAAAGGTTCCATCTAAACCGTTCCATCCATCTTTTCCAGCTGGCCCTGGGGATCCCTTTTTATAACGATTTTAAATATATAGAGTAAAATTTTCTGAAGTGAATGTCTTTAGGTCTTAAGTTATTTGTATTTGAGAGATTTGTTTATGACAGGTTTTAAGAAGCCATAAAAAAAACACAAATTTTAAGCCCAATCATGCATTTAATATAAGCGATTGAGGTATTATTAATTGCGTTTTTTGTATCACTTTATTTATAATCTCTCAAAAAATTTATTATTTAACTATTTTGGGGGAAATTGTTAAGTTAAAATAAATAAATTCAAAAGGAAATTTCTAAAGTTTAAAAAAAATTTCTTAGATGTTTCAAGTTTTTGTTCTATGTGGTGTTGTTAAACGGCTCGTTTTGAGCTGCTTGATTTGGCTAGCCTTCTATGAACAAAATCTTCACGCTTGCGTAATATTTTGCTGGATAAAATATTTATTTAGCCGCTTTTAAAAATCGCCTCAAAACGAGCCGTTTAAAAAATTATATGCTAATTTTTAATGAGAAACCGATTTTTTGTTATAAAGTTTTAAATTCAGTTATGTATTGATTATCTTAAAAGAGTTATAAGTTATAATATCTTAATACCACTTATAATTATATTTTATTTTTATTTATATGAAATTATCAAATTCAATATTAAAAAAGATTACAATAAGATAAATTTTTGTTTAACCATATCTATATAAAAATAAATAAATATTTTAGGTGAAAATTAATTTTAGATTATAAATTATATAAAACTATTATTCTTAATATAAAATAATATTTTGTTGATTTGATTTCAGTCAACTTTATTTCTATTTTATAGTTTAATAAGGTAAATTCTACACTACAGGAAACAAATTAATAAAATTCTAATTACTTTGGGACCCTTGACTCCTGGTAAACCGTCTTTGCCTGGTATCCCTTTAATCCCAGGGTATCCATCCTTTCCATTGTTTCCCTTGACACCAATAGTTCCAGGTGATGTACCATCAGATCCTTTCACACCCTATGTATCGTTACAAACGAAAACTATATTAGCCTATTTTTTTAATTCCGCTTTAAATAATATAAAATAAAATCTACATAAAGGGTCCACTTATGATTTGAAATCCCAATACGTATTTTGGAGGATTAAAGAACGCGGTTCATAGAGCCATCAAATTTTATATCCATGCCAGAAACTGATTTATTGATTGTTTTTATTATTGTGTGAGAACAAAGGCGAATTTTATTTATTAATTACTAAATCTAGCCCTTTTATTACCATAAATACATCTATACAACTTTGCTTATGTTAATAGGATAGAAAAAACCTTTCCAAATATATCAGTCCTTAAACAATTCTTAAAAATATATTCACCTTGCATTTTAAATTAATCAAGCCATATCTGAGATCTTATATGGCACAGTATTGGCAAATAGGTCTATCTCTATTTCTCACATAGATAATTTGCTTGTGAATATAATAAGTTAACTCGGACTATTATGATTATTATGCTTTCCGTATTTTGTTTGTCAAAATATCGGAGAAATTTAATATAAGCTTAGTCAAGCAGATTTTTTTTAATCGAATCGCCATTTGTGGTCTAGGCAACCAAAAAGCACCCTCTTGTATGATCTCATCTAAATGGTTATTAGATATTAATCACTACAATAATTAAGTGGGGATTGATTGTATATTTTGTCAAATCAATTTTACATATCTGAAAAAATATTAAATTATATATTCAAAATTTGATAAAGATTTAGGGGCATTGCAAAAGAATGTGATTGGCTAATCATGGCCATTTTATAAAAACCTATAAAATCTTTTGCTACTCTAAATTTTGCTCTGATACTCGCTACGTTACTCTTATTTTCCTTAACCTTGTTTTATATAAGATACTCTTCGACAGATGGCATTAATCGAAGTACAGAAATTATGTATTCTTCGAAGGAAACGCATATTTCTTAATTAGAATTAATCAAATCATTTTCAATAGAGTGGTATCAAGATTTGATAAAGGGGATATTGACATTTGAAATCAAATTTGGATTGGAAAAAAATCAGTTACAATATTTTTGATTTAAGAATATTAACTCTACGACCGTAAGAAGTTAATTTACGGTATTATAAGAATTTTCAACAACTTTTTTATTGGGGGGAGGGGGGAGGGAATACATTTTCGTAATTAATATAAAAAGAATAATAAATTAACATGGTAAAAAATAATCAATAATAATGAATATACCACAGAAATCATAAGAAAGAACTGATAAACTCGTCGCATTGGTAGTCGAGGGATTGTATGCACCGAGCATAAAATTTCCGGGATTAAGGGTTTTTTGAATGGTTGATTAATTCAAATTTTATCGGGTGGGTTGTAAATTTATTTTTAATATTCTTGATTTATGATTTATCATGATTCGCATTAATATCAACATCAAATCCTCAAATTTTGTTCCTTCCTAGCGCTATTATTGCCTCATTTGTAATATATAAGTATAATCAAAACCAATAAAATATTTAATTAGTAACGTGTTTACACGGGCGGGATACCCGTGAGTTAATAGGCCTTCGAATTGGGCTAATTTATAAATCATTAAATTTTATCTGGGGTAATTCTCGTAAATTTTTATATTGGCGTACTACGTAATACTCTTAGGAACTATTCCCCTCCCAAAAAAACAAAAAAATAAAGCATGGAAGACACAGAAAAGGATATGAGTTGTAAATTTTATAAATATAAGATTATTGAATAGCTGGAGAAAAAGTAAGGAAAAAGTTTAAAATGAAAAAATAATTTGACATCTGCCAATGAATTAAGAATCTTATCTTGTTCATTTTAATGAAACAAAAGTGTATAGTTATGTAATAGCCGATTTTGTCTTGGCGAAGGCTCAATCTTAGCTAATTATTCTATTTTCGAACTAAGCCATAGCCAATTATTTTTGGTCTAGGTGAATTATTTATTACTTTAAAGTATCTTCTTAATCATATTATTTTCGGAAGGTAGGTGAGATCGGGATTATACTATCCAAAATTATAGGGTTATAAATAGACTAAGAAAATTTCCCAAAATATTAAACATTTATATATTTTTAATTAATATAAAATTTAAAAAAATAAAAATTTGAAAATTATTAAAAATCTGAGGTGCCTTTTACCCTTTCACAGTTCGTATTATAGGGCTTTTTATTTTTAGATGTTTTAGTTATTATATAATACCAATTATCAGCGCCGGGGTGGCCCAGTGGTGTATGATGTATGTTTGAAAATTTAAGGTCCCAAGTTACTAAAAATTTTCGAATTTTTCTTCGATTACGGATGGGTATAGACATATGATATGATAAATTTCTGAGCTGAAAAATGCCACCCCGGTTACTGACAGGCTTGGACAGCCGGGTGCTAGGATACTTGTTCAATAAACTAGATAAGACGGCCAGCTAAACTCGTGGGTCAGATGATAACGATTTCTTGGCCAGCGCTAGGATGATGGTGACCTCGGGGGTCGTTCAAGCTCAATGTTTACTAAGTTACAATGGACTTGATAACGATACTCCGGTGGGAGATCCATCGGGATTGATACTCTGGTGGGAGATCAAGATTGGGATATCTGCGGATTTTACTTCGGGATACTCAATGGAATCGATCAGAAATAGAAATTAGATAAAAATAGATGGCATGAGTAATAAAGTGGAGATAGATATTGAAGGAGCTTACCATCTGAAAAGATGAAAGCTAAAAAGAAAGAAAAAATATAATACCAATTATGGTTAAGTTGTCATTATTTATAATATCTTTATCATTAAAATCATAATTATAATAAATCATATATAAAATATATTTTGACCTATTTTCATTAAGAAATTTTGATATACATTTTTTAAGATGACGACATTCGTTACTCTTCTGAATTACATTATCATAAAATTATGCTAAATTATATTTAAATTATTTATTTTTACCTATTTTCATTATATAACGCTTAAAAATTTCCAAAATGACTAAGACAAATGGTCTCTTATAATTGAATTTAAATTGCTTAAGCAAACATAATGGTTATCCTTAGCCATAAAGTAAAATAATTAGTAAAGTCTAACCTTATTCTAAAAAATTAATTAAGGCTTATCTTTAGAAGGTTTAAATCGATTGATTATGTTGAAACATTCACATCTTTGTAATAAAATGATAATCCATTTTAATAAAAATGAATGAGGCATGGGCCAGGTTAATAAGCAAAATGGAAGCTAGAAATACAAATAGACGACTTAGCCATAGCCAAAAAATTAGCTAAGCCTTAGCCAAAAATAAATGGGGTAAACCTAAAAATAAATGAGCTTCTAGGCCTAAGCTGAAAAAGCTAATTCAGCCGAATACCCAACTATACAAAAAGACATAAAAATAACGAATCGAATCTAATTCGTGATAATAACATCAATAAAATATACTTTAATGCCAGGAGGACCTTTTAAACCATCTTTTCCATTGGTTCCAGGTGAACCATCTTTACCTGATTTTCCCTTTTTCCCCCGTTTACCGGGCTTTCCGTCGAATCCGGTTAATCCTGGGTCACCCTATAAAAGATAAAAATCAATCATTTATTATGCTATGCTACTTTTTTGACTTTTAAAAAATTAAAACTAATTAAATGAGAAAATGGACTCCGAGTATATTTAAATAACGCGATTTACGTCATTTCATATAATATAATTTATTTATAATAATGATAATTTTTTTCATGATTTACGGTTATAAAATTATCCATTCCGTTAAGGCCAAGGTTTCCTGGTCTTCCGACCTTTCCATCTTGCCCAGGAAGCCCATCTAATCCAGGCGCTCCTGGATAACTATCGTAACCAGATTTTCCTTGATAACCCTTATAAATATATATTGAAAAGGGGGTTTAAATATAGTTATAAATACTTTTAAAAAATTAATTAAGTTTCATAAAATAAATTGAATCTATGTAACATTTTTATAATTATCACAATTTATCGCTATTATCAGGGATATATTGAATAGGGAACTATGAGGGGCTAAGACTTTTTCAAAGTTTGAGAACCCCTTTATATTATACAGGTGACGAACAACCAAGGCCTTTTGCACTGCTTTACATTACTAAACTTAATAGGCTTGTTGTTTGGAAATAAAATATCAAAGCCTCATAGAATTTTCTTTTTAAATGGCATCCATTTTGGACTTACTTTGCATTTAAGGTTTTTGTGTGAAATTTATTAAGTTATAACTGAAGAAATAAACAAACATTATTTATTATCTCAATTAATAATTTTAATTCAAAAATTACGATTTACAAATATATTTATATTAATTTATATGAAATATATGTCAATTACTATTAAAGCAATATTTATTTTAATTTTTTTTATGACAAACGCAAATGGAAAACATCAATGCCACCATTCTAGGATCTTTATCCTCAAACGGTTTTACTACCTATATTTTTACAACAAACAGGGATAAGTCTGATTACAGATAGAGCAAATAAGATGACGGAAAAATATTCTGAAGTAGCTAAACGCTAAAGCACTATGTACCTCATTCTATTAAAAATCCATTTGCTTAAATCACATGTTAAGTTTTATGCCAAAAATATAAAAATTCATTTTAAATGAACTAGGGGTATTTGTTATGTTTGTATACTTCTGATTCTAAATGAATATTATAAAAAAAATTAATAAATTTTATTATAAAATTCGAACTTATATTGGCATTTAGAGTTCCTATAAAAAAATATCTATGTGGAAAATCATTTCAAGTCGTCATCGGAAAGGTTTATGACGTTTACAGAAAATCGTATAAAAATAATTTCGAAATTAGGGAAATTATTTAAAATACAGAGAATTATATATAATTATTGATGAGTAGGCCTAAAACGAATTATTTGTTATTTGATATTCGATGAATTTAAATAATGAGGAAAATTATTCGTATTATTCGAAATTATTCGAAATTATTTATATATAAATATTCGTAATTATTCGCAAATATTTTATTGCAAGTAAAATAAAAAAAAATTAAATTTTCCTAGTGGATATTATTTTGTTTTATTTTATTTCCTATTATCAAATAATCAAATCATAACAAGTTATATTTGCTGAAAAAGTTTAATGGAAGAAAAGGAAAAGCTTCAAAGTAAAATATAATTATTTTATTTTGATTGTTTCTCTTTAATCATTTTTGATGTTATGAACAAGTCAAAACATTTTTATAGAGTGTGCCTCTTTCCCATATTCTCGAGCTCCTGACAGATAAATAACTAAATTTTTTTTGACTAGTTCTTATTATTTGATTAGGAAAATCCTTTTCCCATTTAGTAACCTTATTTTTGGCAAATTTTAAAGACAATCTAATTCAGATTGTGCATTATAATATCTTCATCCTCTATTACATTGTCATAATCACCTCTAAAAATTATATTAATAATTAAATAAAGGAAATTTATGCTACTAAATTATTTTTATATATTAAATAAAATCTATAATGAAATACTTTCTAAAATTTTGTTATATTTTATATGCAAATATTTAAAATGTAGATATTTTAAATAGATTATAATTTTAAAAATTTTATTTTGTCATAATCACCTTCACCTCTAACTAATAAAATGATATTAATAATAAAAATAAATTTATGCTACTAAAGTATTTTTAATAAATAAAATCTATAATGAAATACTTTCTAAAATTTTGTTATATTTTATATGCAAATATTTAAAATGTAGATATTTTAAATAGATTATAATTTAAAAAATTTTATTATATCATAATCACCTTCACCTCTAATAAAATGATATTGATAATAAAAATAAATACATGATTAAATAAAGGAAATTTATGCTACTAAAGTATTTTTAATAAATAAAATCTATAATGAAATACTTTCTAAAATTTTGTTATATTTTATATGCAAATATTTAAAATGTAGATATTTTATATAGATTAAAAATTTTATTTTGTCATAATCCCTTCACCTCTAATAAAATGATATTAATAATAAAAATCAATACATTATTAAATAAAGGAAATTTATGCTACTAAAGTATTTTTGATAAATAAAATCTATAATGAAATATTTTCTAAAATTTTGTTATATTTTATATGTAAATATTTAAAATAAATTTTAAAATGTAGATATTTTATATAGATTATAATTTTAAAAATTTTATTTTTTCATTATCACCTTCACCTCTAATAAAATGATATTAATAATAAAAATAAATACATGATTAAATAAAGGAAATTTATGCTACTAAAGTATTTTTATATAATAAATAAAATCTATAATGAAATACTCTCTAAAATTTGTTATATATTATGCAAATATTTAAAATAAATTTTAAAATGTAGATATTTTAAAATTTTTATTGTATAAAAACTATTTTAAAAAATGTAATTTAACAATTACATAAAATATAAATTTAAAAAAATATATAAATAATACACTGTACTTTGATTAAAATAGTATTTCCATAAATTTTAAGAATTAATACAAAAATTATATAAAAATTATAACTAAGAATTTATTTTACAAAAATAAATATTATTTAAAACTAATATTATCATATTGCTATTTTTGATTTGAATTTATAAAGAAAGTTCTAATTTTCTCTAAGGTTTTGCTAATTCATAATGGGAATAAAAATAGTAAATTAAAATAATTTTATTTTTTAAAAAAGACCCCCCCCCCCCATGCCTATGCCACTGTTTAATTAATTTACTGTTTTTTTCTTTCAGCTTCTAATGTGTCATTAATATGGAATTTCAGGAAGGATGGTAAACTTAGATTTTATATGATATAATGTTAAAATATATTCAAAGATCAATTAGAAAATCTTGATGGAAGAAGATATGGTGAAGGACATAGTCAATCCTCAAATAGTTCAAGATCTATATCAATCTCTGATCAAACTGAACCTTTTAATGCTAGGCGGAAAAATTCTTTAATATGGAATCATTATTTCTATGATGCTAAAAAAGAAACAGCTAAATGTAAAATATGCAATGTAGAGATAATGTGCAAGAAAAAAACTACGTCAGCACTAATTAATCATAACAAAAGATTTCATCAAAAACTAAATAATACTATTAGAAACTATTTAAATGATATACCCTAAACAAATGATGATGATGTTAAGCATTATTTATTAAAATTTTTGCTAAAGTCAAATATACCTTTTAAAATTCTCGCCACTCAGGAATTCAAGTCCTTCGTTAGAGCTTTAAATCCTGAAATAAATATATGCTCAATACCGTCAATTAAACTATATATGAATGAAATTTTTAATAAAGAATTCAATAAAGTTAAAATAATTATAAATAATTTAAAATGCCAAATTAACTTTACAACTGATATAAGCCCTACTAATGTACCATTTTTAGGGTTGACCTGCCACTTTATTGATGAAAAATGAGAGATGAAATCATTGTTATTGGATATAGTTCCATTTACTGATTCGCATTCTGGTGAAAATATTTATAGAGAGTTTTCTCAAATTATAAAAAATTATAATATCGACATAAGAAAGATAGCAATTACTTGCGATAATGCTAGCTCTAACTCTACTTTCATAAAAATTCTTCGTATAAAACACCCAAATTGTGGAATTTTACATGTGCGATGTTTTGCACATGTACTCAATTTAGTAGTACAGGAAATATTTAAGAAAGTAGACAGGCAAGTATCAAAATTAACAATCATAAAGATTATTCGCAATTCTTTTACAAAGACAAATATTATGCAAGATGTGTGCTCCTCCCTACTTCCCCCTATGAAATATTTAAAATTAAAATTAGACACATCCATCAGATGGAATAGTTCTTGGTCGAAAGAGCTATTAAAATGAGAAGGGCTATTGATGAAGTTGTGACTCAGATATATGATGATATATCTGATATCGAAGAAAGAAAACTTATCGAAGTAATTTAATTTAATTTACTAATTATTATTTTTTATCAGGATGATTGGACTACTTTAATAAACATACAAAACAAATTAAAACTTTTTTTGATTTTACCGAAGATATATGTGGTGATACATATCCTACCCTAAATCTTGTCATCCCTTTCTATGTTTCTTTAATCAAACATTTAAATTCATTTGATCTCGATTTTATAAACTCTATCAGTGCGATTGAGAAAATAGAAACTTATTATAACTTAACAAATATTCACACTATAATATTAACAATACTGGATCCTAGACTAAAAATGGAATTTTTTGAGCAACTACCAACTATATATAACATAGACACGACAAATCTGTTAGAAAAATTTAAAGATGTACATAATGATTACAAAATAAAATATAATATCAAATCAAATCAACATCAGTTAACCCAATAGTACAGTCGAACATGGATAGAATTTTTAAACAAAATAACATCGCATCAGTATGTGAGGTGGAGACATATCTTAACGAAATAAGAATCAGTTCAAATAAGAGTCCCTTAGAATGGTGGAGATTGCATGGGGATCGTTTTCCTGTGTTGTCGAAAATGGCAACTGATATATTGTCAATTCAGGGATCGGCTTCATGTGAGCGGTTGTTCTCAATAGGAACAAATATGATAATGAAAAATAGAATGTCTTTGAAGGAGGAAACTATTAGAAAGACTTTATGCTTAAAAAATTGGATATTATCAAATTCGGATTTACTATAATTTTATATTTTTGTGTATTATTTTCTATTTTTATAAAATAAGATTATTGTACATTTTTAGAAAATTTTAATAAGATTTGAATATTAGATTGAAGAAATAGTTTAAATATTTTTTTATAAGCAATTCTAATTCTAAAAATCGGATATTTTGGTCAATTTGTTTGGTTAACGTTATATGAAATCATTGGGTTTTATTTCGTTTATTTTCTATAAATTTTTATATTGTAATGACAATTAGTTTAGAGAATCCTTAAAAGTGTCATCTTTAAACATCTGTAAAATTTTTTTTGCAAAATATTTTATAAGCTTTAGAAAAATTTTTGAATCGAATCGAATATTCGATGAATCGAAACGAATAATGATTTTACGAATCAATTATTCGATTCGTTTTTTTGTAGGCCTATTGATGAGTAGCTGTATGAAAGACTATGAAGTATTATTCAAACTTAAATGATATATCAACTAGAATTAATGACTAAAAATAACACGTGTAAAGGTGTTTCAAAAATGTAAAACTAATACAAAATAAAAATTCTAGTACTCAACTAACAAGTCCTTAATTCGGCATTGATCTAGAGTTAACTGATCTTATTATCTTTGAAATTTCAATGCAAAAGTACAAAAAGTGACTTTTAATAATATTAATCACAAGTTATTATTATATAAAACAGTTAAAATAATTATATAAAAATATCAATAAAGCGATAGTTTAATGAGGTTTTCCAACATGCGTAGTAAGTTTCAATTCAAAAATATTTTTTTCCAAACAATTTCTATTTCATACGAATTTATAAATATAAAATTTTATAACCTTGAGCCCTTTGGGGCCCTTTTTTCCTGGTTTACCTGGAGCTCCTCGTGGACCTTTAATACCTGGGTTTCCTTTATATCCAATAGGTCCAGGATATCCATTTTTGCCTGGCTTTCCCTGAGCTCCCGGACTGCCCCATGGACATAAATGGCAGGACCCTTAATAATTTAATTAAAAAACTTTTTTCAAAACTCCTTTTTTAAAAACGTAACAGTTATTAAAAGGAGAAAATACATTAACTAATAAAATGATTATTATTGCCATGCAAAATATAATTCATTTTCTAATTTTTGAATAAAATTACTTTTAGAAGGAACATGTGTTTGTATAATAATTACAATTATAAATATAGGAGAGGAGTTATAATGCTGTAAGCGATTTAATTCGCACAATATTTTTATCAAAAAACCTTTAAATATAAAAAATCTAAAGTTTTTATTGTTATTTAGATAAAACTGCGATAATTAATTCTAAAAAAAGGTTCAAAAAATTGCTCAAGAGAATGACTAATTAGGCTTAAAATTGATATATTATTAAATTTACTTTTATATTTATGGGAGATTGTGGAAACGTTTATTTCATTTATGCTTTTTTCCAAATATAATGTTGGGTTACTGGCATCAACGTTAAGATTATAATGATAAAAATTTTCCCTAACGTTATTGTTCTTTGCTATGTCGCGTTTTCGAATTTTATGTACAGATTCATATTCTAGTTTCGCTATTCCCTCCTTAAAATATATAAGTTTTACTTCAAAAGACTATTTATATAATTAGTACATGTAAATAATAATTGATATAATATAAATATATGTCCATAGGTGTGGCCAAGATCTTCCTGGGGGAAGGGATACTAAATTCTGCGGGGCTTCGCCCCCGAAAGCCTGACCCTAAATTATAATAAAAATTGACCACACGGTTCGGCCCCAATTTATTTAAATAGAGAAATATTTAATTTGTTTTGATTGTAAAAAAATATTCTACAAATAAAAAATATTAGCATCTTGTTTCATACAAGAATTTTAAAATATATTAATTTATTTGACAAAATGTGATGGGGCCAAGTACAAGCCGGGTGATTGGTAATTTGCAGATCATTAATAAGCATACATTTTTGGGGGACAAAAGGGGGGGGGGTAAGGAGAATATTTTTTATTAGCTTAAAATGATATTTCCAAAATTATAATAATCCGATGATAACATATGATCAAGTTTTAACGAAATTAAAATGCCTATTAAAGTAATTGGCAAAAAGTTTTTCTTATTTTGTCTTCTTTATAAGAATGCGATTTCTTAACAGCAAATACGTTCTAACCTAGTAAAGATATAAGCAGTTGATGTATACCTTGTAAATCACATCACATGCCGGATTGATAGGTTATCAACAGTAATGACAAATGATTAAATTATTAAAATAAAATTAATTTTCGAATCAAAAATTCGATTAAATTATTCGCATAATTTGATTTGAATAAAGCGAATCAGCCGCGTACGCAGGAGGGGATGACAGGGGAACAAATCTCCTCGCCCCCTCCCTCCTTAGCGAATGCCTGTGTGCCCTGAAATGGATTATTCAAATAATTCGTTGAATATTTGAATTATTACTATTATTTAAATTTATAATTTTATTCAAATCGAATAATTTACTAGCATTAGAAACAGGGACCCGAAACTAAAGTATTTTTGTGTTCCCGTTACGTTCCAGTTCCGGTCAAAAAATTGTTCCATTCCAGTTTCGTTCCACCTTTCGAAACGTTCCGGAACGTTCCTAGAAAAATATCTAAATATTTTTTAAATCTACACATTATAATTAATTTTTATTTAATCATTAAATGAATCAATTATTAAATTGAAGTAATAATATATTTTCTAAAAGATTATTGGTGTCGAAAAATAACGTTCAATACTTACCTGGTTACATGGAGTTGCTGGACAATTCATACAGGATATAATTTTTTATTTTATAGGATTCCCAGCATTCTAGCAAATTTTTTGATTTATCTAGACGATAGAAATGTTTTTATAGTTGATAGAATATACTGCTTTTTGTAAATTTTTGTTTTTCCTTTTTATAGCTGAACCTTAGAAACGTTTCCAATTCTTCATATACTTGTCCTTCTTCAGAAGATTTATCCGAATTACTTATTATAATTAAATCTTCATCCTTAAGATTTTTAATGCCCATGTCGCCAATAAATGATATAGATATATTATTTTCCTCTAGGTTCAAAGGAGATTTAAACCTAGGATCTAGATATAAGGAACAAAGTAATTAATTCATTAGCATTGTTTCTCTTTTGTTGAGAGCTGAAATCAAGTCTTGAGATAACAGGGAATAAATTTTTTGAAGTCTTATTTCACATTGATCCATTGACTTATAAAGTCATTTCGGAAAATGCTCTATTTTTGGAACTTTAAGCTTGCTTCCTTTAACAGATCTAATGAGTCCACCATTTTTCATTTTAATCTTCACCGGAGAAAAAAATTTCAGGATGTAACATTTGTAAGGATATAGAAAATAAAAAGAACTTAATATATGCACCCGTTAGATGGATTAAAAAATTTTTTAATTATAAAATAAATAAGAATTTATATATAATTTCAGGAACGTTCTGGCGAGGTTCCAGAATAACGTTCTGATTCCTTTTCATAAATTAAAGTTCTGTTCCTGGAACCTTCCGGTTTATGCCTGATTAGAACAATTCATACTTGAACAAATTATTTGAGACGAATCAATTATTCGATTCATTTTTGAATAGTACTTAACTAACCATATATGTTTTATACACATCGTATGAGGAAATCTATGGGGATTCGGATCTCTCAATTTCTAATCTTTCAATTTTAATTATTTTACTGAGGGATTTAAATTTAAAAATATCTCTTTGCCTGGAAATGTATTTTAGCATGTATAGAGTATGCCTGTTTTTTAAATAAATATCAAACTATTTTGAACTATTCTTTTTATATTTACATTTTCATATAAACAAAAAAAAATATGAAACTTTCATTTTATGACAAAATTGTCTGACATGCTGTAATATTCTATCCATTATAAATTGCTCTTTGACTATTTATTAGTTAACAAATCATAAAATAAGCAGCATATAAATATTTAGAAAATAATAATGAAGAGAATTTTACTATATCAAATATGTTGTTCACTTATATTCGATACTTTTTACACAATATGAATAGGACATTTCGCCGGACTTTTAAATTGAAAGTTTCCGCCTTTTTGTAAAAATGCTTTGTATTTGATAAGATTCTTTTAATTTTATACGTAGAAATATATTTAGAACTTATAGCAATGACATCCATCAAACATTTTATTTTATATTGTCTCAAATAATGTTTTATGTAAAAAGAGAATCAAATTTAAAATAAATTTATTATGGTTGAGAATATGAGTAATTTTTATTTGTAGGTTTGACTTAGTTTTGTAAAACGGCTCGTTTTGAGCCGATTTTAAAAAGCGGCTAACTCAATATTTCATCCAGAGAAATATTACGCAAGCCTGAAGATTTTGCTCATAGAAGAAACAAAGGTCTAAACATATAATATCGAAATCTTGAGGCTTAGGAAATATTATTCTTGATAAAATGTTGAGTTAGCCGTTTTAAAAATTCTGCTCAAAACGAGCCGTTTAACAACACTAGTTTGACCTTAAAATTAATATTTATTTTAGATTTATATTGACATATTATTTGAAGAATTTAGGAGTAAAATAAGTGATTTATTTGTAGTTTATAATTAAAATTTATAGTGTTATATTTACGTTAACACATACTTGAAGTCTCTTCATTTCTTTATAATACCATTCCAAAAATTTTAATGTATTGAGACTTTGAATTTTATGCTCATGATAGATGTCACCATATATAATACCGTTTTTCAATGCTTTAATATAGATATAGAAGCTTGATCCTGATTTCGGAATTACCCAGAGATAAAATATGAATACTTGAATTAATACTCCTAAAAGTACTCCTAAAACATTAATTATTTTCATTGTTTAATTTATTAATTGAAAAAAAATTGAAAAAAAAGAAATAGATATTTTATTTTTCACTTATTCTACCGATCAAAAACATGTTTTGAATATATAATGACCCATATAATAAAAGTATGTGCTATACTATATTTTTTTTGTGAACAAATTTTATGAAATATAATATTTGGACAATTATTTTCACCTAATTATTTTGGAGAATACATAATAAGATGACCTACAATTTTTTTTTAAATAAATATATCAGAAAACAAAAGCTGTTCTGGCTATCTGGGATGCTAAAAGTGATAATTATTAGAAAATAACCTCGATTGAGCTAAAGCATGAATTAGCACAAGTGATTATTATTTATTTTATTTTTAAAAAATATTCATAAAAGTTTAATAATTTTTATATTTAATTATCACTAACCACCCTATCCTTTATAATTTAAATACCCTTAAATTTTTAGAGACATAATTGCCGCTTTAATATATAACAAATTAATCAACGAAATTTTGTTAATATATTAAATTATTTATCCGATTATGATAAATTTTAAAATGTTTGAAAATTTTTGTGTAAAAATTCCTCTCTCTAAATATTTCAAAAAAAAATTAAATTGGGGTATTTTTATCCAGTGTCTTTTTGTCCGAGAGCATTTTCCTCTGGAGTCTTTTTGTTCAAGTGTATTTATGTCGTGGTGTAATTTTGTCCAGTCACTTTTTTCCTGGTGATTTTTTGCAGGATATTTATGTCCTTGATTCAATTTGGAAAATCTTTAACACTGAATCTGGAGGTACTTTTTACCATATTCTCCCTCGAGAATCATATTTTGATTATTGAAATGGATCTTTACCAGGTTGCGAATAAAAAAAACTATCGGTTAGGGTTTAAGGTTAGATAAAAAAAAATAGTTTATGGTTTAGGTTCATTAGCCTGATAAAGAACTGAAACCGAAAAAATATGGATTAAACAATTAGATTTACTAATATTAATTAAATCACTGAAATTAAATTAACTAAATGTGTTGCTTAAGCACTGACAACTTTTGATTCAATCTTAAACAGTTTTGAAAATGTTAATTAGAATTTTGCACTTACATTTTCAAAAATTCTGAAGAACATTCACCAAAATAAAATTATTATTTGAATCACCCGAACAAAAATGTCCAGGATAAAAAGACCCGGCTAAAAGAGTTACTAAATTTTAATAGAAATATAATCATTTGTTAAAATATTATGCGAAATCAATAAAAAAAATTAATCCCATTCTCCATTTTCTAAATTATTCACTACAGTCATAATATAAAATATTAATAATATAAATCATGCACATGTTAAAAAAAAGGAAGTAAAAGAAAAAGAAATATGGCACTTGTAGTCACTTTTTTAATTTTTATCATTGAAATCTTAATAACATGTTTGCAATATATTTCCCAATATCTTAAAAAAATAAAAATATTGCAATTGATAGTTTTCTAAATGTTATCTTCACTTAAATTTAAAATTTAGCATGTTTGCAATTTATATTTTACTCATTTGCTTCAAAAAAAACTTCAAAAAGGTTTAAAAAAGACAAATGTGACAATTATTACTTTTCTATGGTTCATCGTCACTGAAATCGTAATTAGTTCGCTATATATATTTTAATCCATTATTTCAAGAATAAAAATTTAGTAAATAATAATTTACTACAATACAAAATATAATATATTATTTAACCTAATTAAAAAAATATAATTTTAGTAAAATGATAATTTAAATTACTACTATAAGAATGTGATCCCATTTAAATTCTTTTATTTGAAAAATAATAAAAAAATTTCTTTCAAATTATGCTCTGTGCTCAACGCCTATTTTTAAATATCCTATCCCACTTAGAATTTATGAAAAAGAAATAAAAGATAATGGCAATCTTCTCTCCACAGACCTTCGCTAAATTCAGTTTTCTTCCTTATTCCTATCATTTTACATTATATTACCCTATATATTATTTAATATGGAATTTTTTTTTCTTATATAAATTTTGTGCTAACTTATAATAAATGAATCAATCAGATCTTCAAATTTTGTGATCTTCAAGGATCAATATTTTTTGTTAATAGATACCTTTGCTGTGTATATGTAATATTTTTAAGAAAATCTTTGTATATCAAATTTTATAAAACCTTTAATTTTTTTATATATAGTTTCAGATTAGAAAATGGGTCATTTTTCCTAAATACGTAATTCTTATAAATTTATATACATTTTGAATCAAATTCATATTTATGTATTTATTTTCAGCCAGGTGTTACATGCTGGTTGTGTGTATTTAATAATGCATCAGAATTTTTCTCCATAAAAATATATTTAGCAGAATTATTTTTAACTTTTAATTAAATGTAATTAAATCCCCGGCTACACGACTTATTGGTTTAGAATCCGAATCCGTTCAGGGGATTCCTGATTAACTCATATTCCAGATTAACATACCACATAATCATATACATAGGAAAATATTTTTTGAATAAAATTTAACAATATATTTTTTTTGTACCTCCCATGACCTTTTTTTAGCTATTTCAAAATTTTAGGGGGTTTGAACTCCTGCTCCCCCTAGTAAGGCTACTAGCGATGCCCATTATACGAGAACAAGTTAAGTGCCGTAATTAAGGTCAGAGATATAATTAAATTGAATCCCATCAAAGTTTTACTAGCCTATCAAAAATATTATAATAATATTATAATCTTTTCATAAAAAATATAATTATATAATTTAAAAAAAAATTTTCAAAGAGCAACCCCAGTTTTGAGATTGATCACTAGTGTTGTTAAAAAGCCTTCTGATCGAATTTTGACCTAATTAAAGTATTAGCCAAAATAATATTCTGTAAGCCTCAAGATTTATAAAATATATATGCAATCCTATATTATCTTAATAAGAATTGGTTTTTAATATCTCTGTTTTAATATCCTATTAGTTTGGAAATTGAAAATCTATATAGTACTTGTTTATAAATGCTAGAGGATGTATATATTATTTTAAATAAAGCCAAATTTTTTATTTTGCAGATGGGAACATGAAACTCCTTTTCATTAATAATGTTAAATTTCTATGGAAGCGATAGGAGATTTCGAATATAACAAAAAGGATTTGATTGGACATGGGGCCTTTGCTGTGGTTTTTAAAGGGAAAAGAAAAGTAAAATTTTTTCTCTACTCAGCATAAATATACATTTTTGATATATTAGAAAGATGAGGCTATAGTTGCAATTAAATCCATAACGAAGAAAAATTTGTCCAGATCTCATAGCTTACTCGGAAAAGAAATAAAAATATTAAAAGTTTAATTTAATATAATTATGATTATTTAATGTATTTTTTTAGCCAAACTATTTTATCATTTAACCTGACATCGAATACTTTTATGATTTATTTGTTTCTTATTTTTTTTCTTTGGTATAACTTTAAATATTTGCTAATTTAAGGGTTATTCATCATATTAAATTAAAATACTATATATTTTATTTAGTTTAAATGTTTTAGATTTGAATTTTTAAATAATTTTTAATTATATATTTATAAATTACCTTGCTTAAATTTATATATAAAAAATTGAATATACAATGGATATTTATAAAATTTAATCATAATATTTTTATATTTATCAGACCTGAGTGGTCATTCTCAAAACTGGCTCAGATTTTTTTTAGATAATTTTTTTTGGCCCAGCTTGGAATTCTTAAAATTTTCTTATCTTGAAATTTTTTTTTCAAATTATTTCTAATGGAATTTGAAAATATAATATTAAATATATTTTAAAAAAGTTAATTGACTCAGCCCAGATTTTTAATTTTTAAAATAATATGTTTTATTATCTGATCTAGGCTATGTTTCTATTTGCTTGCAGATTTCTAATTTCTATTCTACAAATTAATTATATATTTATTCACAAATGTTAAGGAATTGTCACAATTGAAGCATGAAAATGTTGTTCAGTTATTGGATTGTAAAGTATTATTATATATTTTATAAAGGAATATCTTGGTAATTTAGGAAACATCAACTCAAGTTTATTTGATAATGGAGGTATTTTTTTTTTTTTTTAAAAATAAGATTTTAATTTCTTTATCTTTTAGTTTTGCAATGGAGGGGATCTAGCAGATTATTTACAAAGTTAAATAAAAATATATTTTAAATAAAATGTTATTTATATATTTTTTCAGATAAAGGTTCACTTAGTGAAGATACTATATCTTTGTTTTTCCGTCAAGTTGGTTAGTTTTTTTTTAATATCTTTGAATTTATATTGTTGCTCTATAATTTTTTAAACCCAAATTAAGTCAATTTTATAAATCATTTTAATATAGAGCTGTGCCAATATATTGAATTGGATTAGGGCCTAATATTTACCATTTAAAAAAAATTATATGGGGCTGATATTTTCAATAAAACAATCCAATATTATCATTGCCTTTCAATATTTTATGATTACATATATTACTATATTTATTTAGCATTTTAAAAAAAAATTATAGACTGATATGTTTTAAAAAACTGATCTGATATTTTTTATTTTAATTGGTTATTTTATGATTGTATATATATTAGTGATCTGCATCGGGCCTAATTTTTCAAGCCTGGCCCTGCCCAAAATTTTTTTAAAAAAAGTTTTGACGGCCCGCCCCGAACCGAAATTTTTTAAAAATGTTTTCTGGCCTGGTCCGAACCCGAAATTTATTTTAAAAAAATTTACCAGCCAGGCCCGAATTTATTTTAATATAGAAATTAATTTTTATAATTACTTAAAATAAAAAACATATGTTATATAGCGTTTAGTTTCAATAAATTGAATCAAAAATTTTTATTTAACATAAAAAATTCAATATAAAATTGATAAATTTAAGATATATTTAATAAAATTTCCAAGGTCCAACCTGACCCGGCCCAAAATTTTTTTAAAAATATTTGGCCCGGCCCGAACCCTATTATTTTAAATAGAATTAGGCCCAAGCCTGGCCCGGGCCTAACTTTACAGATCTCTAATATATATAACCTATATTTTTTTTTATTTTATAAATAATTTCATAATAATTATATTTTTTGTAAAATGGTTAAAAAAATACTTAAAAATTATTATAATATTTTTTGTTAAATTATCGGCAGCAAGAAAAATTTTTTAAAATATCTAACAAGTCACATTAAGTTATGTTGTTAAATGGCTTGATTCAGCCAATTTTTAAAATTAGCTCAAGATTTTGGTCAAAAGTAAGGCATATTGATTTTGCCCACAGATGGCGTAAAGGTTTGGATTTATCGAAATTTAGAGACTTGGCAATAATATTTTGGTGAATATCTTGATTTGGCCATTTTTAAAAATTAGCTAAATGGAGTTGTTTAACAGCAACACATTCACTATAAACTTTGCAAATACTTTAAATGAGATTATTAATTTTTGGAAAATAAAAAAAATACAAATGATTTGTGAAAGTTAGTTGGTTTTTTAAATAAAAAATATTGATATTTTTATGATATTGATACAAAGATAGATGATAAACATAGGATCGGTATCGGGTTTATAGTAATCGGAAAATATCGGATCTGTTCTTTTGTAATCGGAAAATATCGGATTGTTTGGGGGAAAATTTGTGGATCGGCACAGCCCTAATATATAAAATTATATAATATTTTTAATTTTATTCATAATTTTTCTTAATGTTTAAAGTAACTTTTCAAAATTAACTATAATTAGTTACAAGTTACATCCTAAAGTTAACTAGTAATAATAATTATATTTTTTGAAAAAAGTAAATATAAAATTAGTTACATTTGCATTGAAAATATAATTATTGCAAGTTATTTTATAAATCATTTTATATAACTCATCATTTTAATATAATCTTATTATACAAAATAATTTTATATTTAAAAATTGTTATCAAAGGAACTTAAATAAAATACTATTTAAATGAAGAAATAAGTATGCTGAAAAAATATCACAATCAAATAAAGTGTCTATTTGTGCTGAAAAAATATAATTAACACATTATAATATATATTTTTCATAAAAATTTAAGCCTAATAAATTACCTTTTTAAAATTAAACTATTTTCAAAATTTTATTAGAACAGGTAGGCTTGTTTTTCCTCAAAGATAGGCTTCCCTACTAAGCGTTAGGAAGGCTTGATCTGATATAAATGATTTATTATAATTAATAAACATTCATTTTAAATTTAATAAACATTCATTTTAAATTTATTAAACAGTAATTTTAAATTTAGATCATATAAAGTTAATGATTATATATCAGAGACCTGCAGAGGTACCATTTGCACAGCCCGGCCTGGATTTTTTTTCTAAAGTTTTTTGCGACCTGGCTCAAGTTTTATATTTAGGCCCACTCGGATTTTTTTATAAAAATATTGAATTTTGGTATATTCATTATTAGGAAATTATTAGTGGAGTGAAAGAAATTAGTTACCGATTTTTGTGAAAAATAATGGTAACTAGTTCTTTAAAAAAGTTAAATGTATATCAGAGACCTGCAGGCTAGCCCTAAGCTCGGGTACACGGGCCCATCTAAATTTTAATTTTTTTAAATATACCCGAGCCGGGCGGGCTGTATATTTTAAAATCAAATAATCGCCATATTAGTTATAAAAATTAAAAATAAATATCATAAATTTTAAATTAGTGGTGTAACGATACCCCTTTTTGGAGGCCGATCCGATATTCCTGAATGGGTTTAATTTTTAATATACTTTTTATTAGTATAACATCTATAATTTTACTATGCCATAACATATGTCATTTAGTTATAGTTTATATTCAATTCAATTGCTATTATTGATATAATAAGTAATAACATTATAATTACTGATAAACAAATATATTATGAAATTTGAAATTAATAGTTAAAATATATATATCGAAGATTTCTTTTTAGAAATTCCAAAATTTCTAATTTATCAGAGATCAGTCTTCGGTGTCTGTCAATATCACTAGCATCACTAAAAACAGATTCTGAAGAGATTATTGAACACTTTTTAAACAGAATGCAAAAAAAATAACTATTGCAGAATGTTTATTAACTAAAAAAATTAAACATAAAAATACATTTCAATTTTATTTATAAAAATAAATGGTTTTTTAGATATAACTTTTTTAAAATTTTGTTAAAAGCACTATTTTATACCGGATCGGAAAATTTTATAATATTTGCCGATAACCGATATTTTAAAATGGGCAAAATATCGTCCCGATCCGATATAAAATATCGGTACATCCCTATTTTAAATAAATCTTATGTTCATAAAGTAGCGATTTAAAATATTAGGTTATATAGCATATGGCCCTGCCTGGATATTTTTTTAAAAAAAAATTTCAGACCTGGCCCTGTCCGGGGATTTTTTAAAAAATCTTAAGGCCCGGCCCGGCTCGGGTATGTTTAATAAAATTAAAATACGCCCCGGCCTGTGTACCCGAGCTTAGGGCCAGCCTACAGGTCTCTGATATATATTAAATTTTTGAAAAGTAATTAGTTACCATTATTTTTCACAAAATCGGTAACTAGTTTCTTTAACTGCACTAATAATAAATATACCAAAATTCAATATTTGTAATGTAAAAGAAATCGAATTATTTTAAAAAAATAATGTCTAAAAACATATTATATTTTTGTTATATTATTTGCCACGAGGAAAAAGATTTAAAATATTTAATTAGTCATCATTAACATTATACATATTTTATAGAATTTTTAAACTTTTGGGAATAAAAAACAAAAAAATACACTTAATTCTTCATAATATGTACCAAACCTTGACCATGAGAAACGGACAATTTGAAGTGTTTCTTGTTATGTCCCATGATTTCAGTTTTTTTCCATTGGTTATTTATATAGTTCAAAGGTATGTGGTAAAAAATCATCTAAATTTTGTATGAATACCAGAGAATATTGAACAGTAAAAAATTTATAGATTGGTACAGTCCTATAATTTTTTTTTCCAGGTCATGAGTTACTTTATTGAATATTTACTGATTTTATAGTAATTAAGCAAAAACCATGATTTCTGGTTTAGTTCTTGATAATATAAAGTCACTTTTTTTATAAATATTTATTTAATTATAACCAATAATTTAATTATTTTATATTTTTTAAATATATATATTTAGCTGCAGCACTAAAAGCTCTTAATGCCAAAGGAATTGTTCATAGAGATTTGAAACCACAGAACATATTATTATGTTATCAAATTGGTACCTCCAAAATGTGTCCTCATCATGCTATATTAAAAATTGGTAATAAAGTTGGGTATTTGTTAATTTCTATACAATGTTAAATGAATTTAGTCAACAAATGATTGATTTTATCACTAATATAATTGTCTCTAAAATAAAGCCTGAATAATATACAAAATAGATGTTTAATTTAATTTTTATTAAAAAAACAGTTTTGGCTTCAACACTTCTTGAAATTCTATTTACGATTATAATATTGAATAAAGGCTAATTCGACGAGATAATTGTTTTCATTATTGGTATTTGATTTGAATATCAAATTAAATGAAGATTCAACTCACCCTCTTCGCTTTAAAATTTGTATGACGGTAGTATATACACTAACTAGTAAAAATATAAAAATTTTAATTTTCAACTTAGCTTACTTCATGAAATATGGCCATCTTTAGAAACGCGGAAATTCCAAAATACACTATATTTAATTTTAAATATATCAAAATGTAATTAAGCTAAAGACATAATTTAAATTTTATTAAATAGCTCTCGAATAGCCCTTTAATTTGATATGAAATATATTATATTAAAAATAGATCTATTACTAAAAACCGGAAATGACTATAAAATTATAATTGCTCTTTTTTTCTTTCAAATTTTTTTACATACAGACATTATATTTCTTAATATAAATACAAAATTCTAGATTGGGACGAGTACTGGGCCAATAGTTATTACACTTTAAATATAATTAGTATGGCTTAAATCATATTATACTAAATATAGAGATATGTGAATAATAGCATTAATACTAAAATCCTGATTATTTTGTTTTTTTAAATATTAAAGCATTTACCAAATTGTATTGTATTATTTTAAATATAACGCAAAACGTTTTTAAACATTTTAAGGAATAAATAATAAAATTTTGTAATAAGTAATAAAGTAACAACTATGATGAGCTTAATAATCTCTTCATCCAATTTAAAAATCTATATTCGCAAAAATTTTTCTTAAATTCGAGATTTTTGACCTGGCAACTCTGTGAGTGAATGATGTAGTTTATTTTTCATTGCCGGATATTTAATTAGCTTTGTGATCGTCAGAAATATATTTTCATTTTAAATATTATTTTAATAAACAAAATAATTATATTTTTTAGCAGGCATGCCTGGAACGCATACAATGTGCATCTGCACATTTCATCAAAATTTTAAATTAATTATAATTAATTAGTTATAAATTATATAAGTTAATTGCAAACCAGCATAACTATCCATTTCCTCTCATAAAAGATTATAAACACTACGCACAAAGTCTATGCAATTCAGGTAGGCCTTGCTGTTACTTAAGGAAATGCCAAATGTGTCCCGGCACTTTGGAACTTAAAGAAAGACTAGATTTATTGCTTGATAATAATGCCATAGATTATATAACATTTAAACAATGGATGGCGGCAGACCGTACTACCCTCGAAACGTTAACTAAGTCCGCCAGCGAATTTATAGAGTATTTGATTGAAAAATTAAATATTTTAATTCCTCATGCATTTATTTTTTCGGAACAATCTTCATTTTTTAAGTCATTAATAAATTTGAAGGATGGGGAATATCTAATAATATCCGATTTTGCAGAGAACTACGCTTTTGTAGTTCAAGATTACGCTCAAGGTTTCCATTGGACTAATAATCAGGCTACACTCACCCATTTATGATTTATTACCGCAAAAGAGTTTCATCAAACATATAAGTTATAGTTACGTGGTTATATCAAATTGTCTAAAACACAATACATGTTTTTTTTTATTTATTTTAAATAAAATTAATTCTATTCTTGAAAGAAAAATTTGATAAGATTTCATTAATTTTTTATTTTTCTGATGGAGCTGTTACCTAGTATAAAAACAAAAAAAAACTTTGTATACCTCTACAACCATTATAATGATTTTAGGATCAAAGCAGAATGGCATTTTTTGCAACTCATGGCAAAACTCCTTGCGATAGTTTAGGGGGAATTGCTAAGAGGTTGGCGGCTAGAGCAAGCCTGCAACGTCCTTATGAAAATCATATACTAATTCTAGTGTTGTTAAACGGCTCATTTTGAGTCGATTTTTGAGAACGGCTAACTCGATATTTTAGCCTGAAAAATATAGCCTAAGCCTTGAGATTTCTCTAATAGATGTCCTAACCTTGGTTCCTTCTACAAGCAAAATCCTCAGGCTTAATTTATATTATTCTGGGTGAAATAGTGAGTTAAGAGCCGTTTAACAACACTAACTAATTCCTATGAATTTAGATAATTATGCGAGAATTAATATCCCGGGGATTAATTACATATTCGTCAGCAACCTTGAATATTTAAGAATGAAAACCAATCTCGAAAATGCCAAACGAATTTCGGGACACAATAATATCATTAATTTATTCCAATGGAAGGAAAAGTGAATGTGTAATTTTATTCTAATTCATTAGATTATTTAATGTATGATATTATTTTTTTAATAAATATGTTTATTACAATATTAATTTCCCATTGATATTCATGTAATATAAATAATTAGCTAAATAAAGTTATAAATATTTTTACAATTATTTTCTTTCTAAAAAAAAATAGCAAAATTTATGTGTTAAATATGACACAATGTTTACTAGTGATCTGCATAGGTTTTAGTTTTTCTAATTCGGCCCGAAAAATTTATAAAAAATATATCCGGCCCGATCCCAAACGAATTTTCCTTTTATTTGTTTCATAAATTACTATACATTTGGTATAATATAGGATTTAAGCCATACCACTTATATTTAAAGTGTAATAACTATTGGCCCAATACTCGACCCAATCTAGGATTTTGTACAAATATTAAAAAATATAATGTATCTGTAAAAAAAATTTGAAAGAAAAAAAGAGCAATTTATATTTTATAGCCAATTCCGGTTTTTGGTAATAGACTTATTTTCAATAAAATAAATTTTGTATCATATTGAAAAGCTATTCTAGAGCTATTTAATAAGATTTAAATCGTGTTTTTAGCTTAATTACTTTTTGAGTTATTTAAAATTAAATACAATGTATTTTGAAATTTTCGCGTTTCTAAAGATGACCATATCTCATGAAATAAGCCGATTTGAAAAGTAAAATTTTACATTTTAATAGTTAGTGTATAAACAAATTTTTAAAAAATCGAAGGGGGTCTGGTTGAAAATCGACTTTTTTTGTTATATGGAATGCAACTTATATAAAATAGCTATGGTTATATTATTCATGTAGAAATAATTAGTGGCGTAGCCAGGATTTATCCATGGAGTGGGTTTAAAAAAATTTTAAAATTATTCGTAATAAAAAACAATTTTTTAAATTTTTTTCGGAGGTTATGGGGGGTGGGGAGATTAACCCCAAACCCTCCCCTCCCTCTTGTCTATGCCACTGGGAAAAATTATATTTATGCTTAATTTTTATTAAAGATATAGGGTATAAAGGCTAGGTGTGGATTGGGGGTTAGTTTAATGATTATTAAATGGCTAATTATTATTCATTAATAATAAAAATTCCATGTTGCCGCCTATTTTATATATTTATAAATTAATTTATCTAGCGGACTATAAAAATCACAATAACTGTTAATCCTCCTTTATATAAAACTATCATTAATGTTTAAATTTTTAACTTTTTCTTTAAAGATTGCTCAATCAATACTCTATTCTTTCCATTTTTTATGTAACATTCGGTAAATTATTAATGAAATAATTATACAAAATTATGGACTAATTAAGAAATAATTAAAATAGGATCCTTTTCAATTTATATGCAGCTGATTTTGGGTTTGCCAGATTTTTACAAGATGGAGTTATGGCTGCAACATTATGTGGTTCTCCAATGTATATGGTAAATAATAAAATTTATATATTAGTACTAGTTAGTCGCTTTATTTATTTCATATAAACATTGTCTCAGTATTTACAATTATTATAATATGTATTTAACCATTATATTTTTTTAATATAACCCATCAAATCAACAAGTAATATGTATTTTTGATTGATCAAAATAATAACAATAATAATATATATTATTTTATTATGAAAAAAAAACAAAATATTCATTATTATTCTATTTTCAAAATATTGATATTCTTCTAATTACACACCGAAAAGAGACTAAGAAATTCAGAAGTATGCCCAGTTTATTATATTGTCATGAACAAGACAAAAAAATATTATAATTCTTTTTAATAAAAGTTTAAAAGAAATTTCTTTATAATTCCAGATAATGTCTTTACCTATGATTTAATATTTATTATCGCAACATCAGATCCCCCCACAGTATGACGGGGAGAGGGGGGGGGTTACTATTGGAGTGTCTTACAATCTTTCTTCTTGATCATTAGTTCTAGGTTTCACTTGACAAAGTTCTCTATGATTCGTTTGAAGAAGGTCTCTGCATATCGACTATCAATTGAGATACTGAGAGTTGGCCTATCAGCTACGAACTCCCGAGCCAGACCTTAGTTGATACCCGATTGTCGGTATTCATGGACCCATGATCCAATTTTGTGGCCATTGAGGAATTGTATGTTGGTCTTCCATTTTTTTGAGGGATGAACACATTGTCCCGCTGATTAACAATTTTAGCACCTCTTTTTCCTCGATCATTTGGTGCAGCTTCTTTACGGAAAGATTGAGTCTCGTCTTTTTTACTTAGTCTCTTTAGATGTGATTTTTAGTCTCCTTGATGTATGTTACTTTTATAAATATATATAAAGGTTTATGAATGAGAGTAATTCTTTATATCTTAGTAAAAATTTTATTAATTACTAATATCAAAAACATTTTATTTTCTTAAGTTAAAAAAGAATATCAATATTATGAAAATAAAATAATAATGAATGATCCTTTTTTCTTTTTTTTCACAATAAAATAATATATATAAAAAATATATTATTATTGTTATTATTATTTTGGAAAAATACATAATACTTGTTGATTGACGGGTTATGTAAAATCAAAATATAATGATCAAATCAAATACATAAAATAATTGTATATACTGCAAAACATGGTATCAAACCGAACCCACACCACAGGGCAGCAAACCCAGGTCTTTGAAAGACTCTACTAAACCCTAACTAGGTTAATGACTGAAATATCTTTTTCGCATATATAATAAATTTCTTTTACAATCACAACAAGGACTCGGTGATTGAACTACTTCTATAAAATATTATGCTAAAATCAATACGTAGCTTGTTTAAACTTTTAATTTTCTTTATTATTTTCTTTATCAATTAATAAATTTTTTTATATACAAAAGATTCCTGAATTCTAAACTTGTGTTTAATAATTTTGTTCTAAGCCAAACCTTAATCGAACCCATTTAAATAGGAGGGAGGGGGGAGTTCACCATCCTGCATATAAATCAAATTTCAACCAGATATAATATGAGGTCTCTTAATTTAAATTTGATATTTTTGCAATGTCATATACTTTTCGATTATTAACTTTTAATTTAGGCTCCGGAAGTTATAATGTCCCTTCAATATGATGCCAAAGCCGATTTATGGAGCATTGGCACAATCATGTTTCAATGCCTCACTGGAAAAGCACCATTTCAAGTTACAATAATTATAAAAATATTACATTAATCTTTAAAAAAATTTTTTTAATTTATTTATTTAAATAATTTATGCTAATTTCCAAAATTGTTAAAAGATACTTATTAAATGGATCTAGATACAGATGCATCGTCTAAAAATTTATCTAGATATAGATACAATCTTTAAAATATATCTAGATACAGATACAATTTTTATTATACTATTATATATGGTTTGCATAAACCGAAATTAGGATTTGTGAAAATGAAATGAGCTAAAATATTTATTGACTCGATATCACATTTATCAAAATATAACTAAAATATTGATTTTATATTTTAATATAATAATAATAATATATGATTAAATGATTATAAATAATTATTAGATTTCAGTAATAAAATATTTTTTTAATCGTTTATCTGTAAAGACATTTTTAGCTACATTAAAAAGTCTTTCTACCGGGGCGCTTTAAGGGATTGTGGTGTTATATTTTATGAATAACAATTTTATATCAGGATATTTTTAAAAATACTAAAATCTCGACATTCATATTTTTGAAAAAATTATTTAAAATTTATTGAGTATCAAAATTTAAATCATTATTAACAATCATATCTGCTGCTGTGGGGTACTGAAAAAAATCGATATTAAATTATTTTTTTTTACAGGTTATTTGTTTGCAATCAGATGAAGACCTTGATAAATCAACTAATCTTTATATTAATTGTATTTATTAAAAATTTTATCCATTTGTAACCATGTTCAATCAAGTTTAAAAAAAGGATGGAGCTTGCTATAATATTTCCATTTTAAAATATTCCCAATAAACCTAGAATTATTAAATATTGGTTAATTTATTATTATTAATTTACCTATCTTCAATTATTGTTGAGGCTCAAATCGGGCCGTTTAACAACACTATCTTCAATCCCTTTAAGTAAGGCATCTAGGAGTGGTAAACAAAATCTCATGTTCATTTATTTCACATACTTCAATTTGATAATCAGCTGTGAAATGGTTGATCAATGATAAGTTGTGTACGTATATTTATCTTCCTGCAATCAAGAGAACTAGCTACTGGCTTCATTAATTTAAAATAATGCTATATATATATAAATTTTATAACTTACTAAACAATATTCATGAATAAAATCACATTCAATAGATAATAACCTAGGTAGTTATTAATGAATATTTATATATAAGTTTTAATATTATATATATATAGAATTTTATATTTATAGTAGTCTTAATATTTTTTAATATATATTTAAATTATATGCTCATATGAAATAAAATAAATTTTGTAATCAAGTATATTTATTTATATATAAAAAAGCGTTAAATAAAAGTATTCAAAGAGGGATCTATTATTATTTTATTTAAAACTACTGCATCTTAATGAAAAATAATTCAACATATCTATATACAGATACTTTAAATAAATATATCTAGATACAGATACCACATTTTTATATCTAGATACTTTAACAACTGCTAATTTCTAATAATCTGTTCTTACTGTAATTACATTATAAGCAAAATAATATTATTAATCAGAAATTGCATATCCCTGACTTAGTAAACTACAATTTACATCCCATCAAAAACAATTAATTTGTTTAATAAAATATTAGCGATATTTAAAAGTGGTTATTTACAGTGCACACACTATATGTTGTTTAAATCATATTATCTATAACCAGTGGCCACTAGGATTAGAAAATTCCGAGGAATTTTCAATGCGGTAATTTTCCTAGGGAAATTTTGGGAATAACCAGGAATTTATATAAATAAATTGGAATTACTGATATTACTTAAATACAATTTTATACTATATTTTATTATATTCAAGCAACAAAAGATAATCTAAGAATATGCATTAAATGTTTAGTAAAGACATTATCAAAACTCAACTTCACTCGTACTATCATCAACCCACCATTCTGATATTTCAATTTCTGACGAACTATTTTCTTCCAAATATCTATTGTTTCTAGTTGAGTATTTGAGGACAATTGTTGATTTATTAAATCTAAGTTATGCTCAATTGATATCTACACTTCTACCTTTTTATTTCTTAACTTTTCAAAGAATGACTCAGTGGCCCCTACACTCTCTGAGCGATGGAAACAGAATACCTCCTTGAAAGTGCCCCCCCCCCCACCCACCCCCAATAAAACAGTTAAATATTTTTTGACACCCTTTAGGCACTACATGAGGTAGTAGGAATCGTTAATGAATATTTTTATAAAATTGATAAATTAGGGAAAGCAGAAATTTTTTAAGTAAACGATAATGTAAAATAAAACAATAAATTTTTCAGTCTGAATCATACATCTCAGAATCATCATATCAGAAGAAGTTAAATAATGTATTAATATAAATATTATAATAAAATTGATTTACAATTCTCAGAATCTAGCAAATCTTTAGATTCTTTAACCTCCAGGTCATGTGTAATATTATATCCCTCGTTTTAGCCATAATATAATTATTTCGAAACTTAGACATTTTTTTCAAAAACTTGGCTTGAATTTAAAAAAATTTACATATATCCTCAATATTATACATACTTAATGAATGTCTTTTCCTCCATTCCCTTTGGTGTAAAATAATGTTTGATTTAAAAATTTCATCGATTCATCATTGAATCTTTCATTAAACTGTATAATAATTAGATCAACGCGGCATAAATTGGTTTAATAGCTAAAATAAGTATTATATTTAATAATGAAAGTATATATTATACCTCTCCTTTTTGGATTGTAATATTTGAAGTCTAGAGCTTTCAAAATCAAAAGACAGATTTCTCTCTTCATAAAATCTTGGGCCTTTGAAAAACATTAACAAATTCAGGGTTATTATATTACTATTAGGATTAAAATATAATACATGCATTAATTTAGATTATACTTCTCAAATTAACCAGGCAATCTTTTGCCAATTTAAAATGATTTATTGCAAACACTATATCATACTAAATAGTTTGCAATTTTGTACAAGCCATGCTTGTTATCTACAATATTTTATCCGAAACACTAATAAGTGATAAAATAAAATCAAAATTTTCTATTCTAAAAACAATAGCACTAGCTATGGTATAATTGGCAGAATCTTCAGAATCCCCTAAATTTTTCAAAACTGCCCTCAAGGTATTTTAAGGTATAAATATTTTTAAATAGCTTTATATGATGATAGTCAGCTTCTATAAATATGAAATGAACATCTTAAATTTAAACAAATAAGATATAACTACCGAGTGTAACTATCGAGTGGTATTCTTTGCCGACAAATCGTTGCGATTTTGTCAGTTCATCACTCTCTGACATGCTTTGAGCACTGCATATTTAACACCATTGAAATACACATAATCTCGTCTAAGATTTCTAAATAGTTCTTTTATCAATTGACATAATTGAACAATGATTAAATTTAATAGATGACAATAGCACTAAATAAAAGCTGCCTTTGAGATCTCAGCTCTAATCAAAGCCTATACTCCTATGATCTTTGCACTCATGCTTTAAGCACCATCATAGCTTTGCCCAACTAAGAATTCGAGGAGTAGATTTATGGAACTATTGCATATTATATTTTTTTATTATCAAGACCAGTCTTTACCATTTTCATATACCTTACTAACAAAGCTATTGCTTCTGATTTCGAAATATCATATGTACAATCAACTATAATTAAAAAACACCTGTTAACAATCTCTTTTTTATTTTATACCCATATTTTTCATGGCTTCAATAAGAATATTTATTTTTGTTTTTTCTTCCTTCTTTTTTTAAATGGACAGGTTCCATTCTAATAATGTCTTTAAACGCCACTATTTCAAAGCTTTTTTTTATATATCGCAAAGCTTTTCTTTTCGTTAAAATTTTGCCCACCATGGCTTTTTCTTATATGGTTTGTTCATTTATCATCGCTTATATTATGTTAATTAAACATTTTTATTTTTTTGATTGATATTTTTGGGCACATTGTAAAATTGGAAAAATAATTTTATAAGACAAGAAATCTAATGGGTGTGGTAAAACAAAAATTGAATAAATTTTAAGTACCCCCCAGGGGCCACTAGATTGACCATATACGTTCTGATGAAGCACTAGTAGGATGTATTGATAAAATTCTTTGGACAATTATAGATAACGATTTTATTGTACAGAGCTCTTTCCACCATGTTATTTGATTAAAATATCTCACCCTATCCCAAATTCCAAAGTATCCTTAAAAAACCACCTTTGGCTCGATATTCGCTTAAGTTTCTAAAATCAAATTAGCATCTAATTTTAAAAAATCAGAAAGATGTCTTATTATTGAGATCCCATGATCAATCTCAATATCATCAAGGTTATCCTCCATATATCAGGCAACCAATAGATATGCAGGATTTTTTTGCAACAGAATTCTTTTCTCTTTTGAATAAATGATTTATCTTTAAACAGATTTTTTAATATTAAATATCCAGGTACTTCAGAAATGTTGCTTTGTCAGATTCAAGTAGTAATATTTCAACATATATTGGTTCAATAATTTCTAAGATCTTCTTTATTTTTTCCCCCAAAATTATCATCACTCAGAATTTGGGTAAAATAATAATATTATGGATTACCATTTCTTGTAAAATTTTTTGATTTTTAACTAAACTCTTTATCATTATTATTGCATCATTCCATAAGTGTTGGATACTTATTACCAGGGTTGGCAAGTCGGTCAATTGACAAGGAGTATTTGACCTGGTCAAATACGGTCAAATACTCTAAAATGTTATTGGTGAATAACTATATTTATTTAATGAACTAATATGTATTTAAAGCATATTTATCAATCTAATTTGTTTACAAATTATTTTAAAATATATTTGTAATCATAAAGGCATCGATTTAATTATAATTTTATATAAAAATATAGAATTTTCTTATTAAAATATTAGAATTTCAATTTGAAATATAAAAAAAAATGAATTTTTCTCATTATTAATTTGTTTGATCTAAATATATAAATAAATATATAAATTTTACTTAAGCATGGTTTGAGAAAATTACTAATTGCCAATTTATATTACATTATGTACAATTATCCAAACAAGATGGGTATCATAAATTAAATGTAATGAGCAAATATAAATATGCAAGAAAGCACTGAAAGCAGCTGTTGAAGAAGTTGGATATTTGTCCGAGAGAAATTATCAATAATATATTAAATGATATTTTGGACAAAAAATTTAAATTTTAAACTATTGATAAACATTTAACTATCTTATTGACCTTGGCTTACGTAAAAAATGAGATGCTTAATTTAGAAAACACATAATACAATCATGTCCATGATTTTATAATTTACCAACCTAAAGAAAAAATATTAAAGATAAGTTTGAAAAAGAAAGCAATCCAAATACATGTGCTCTCACTGCACTGCTGATTATTTATTGGATTCCCAATATAAGGGGAGCATCTTTAGTTTGATGAAGCATATGACATAATACAAAAATTAGTCGCTTCATAAAGAGATGATCTCAAAATATTTTATGTGAAATAATAAATTTTAGAAGTAAAAGCGGAGTATTTAATAGCCAAAATATGTGGAAACCAGTAACTTTCATAAAAAACAATCAGATTTCGGGCACAAGTTGTTGGAATGGCTTTGTTCACATTGAATATTAAGTGAAGTGTCTAAGAAATTCGATTGAAGATCTCGACAACCAGAAAATTGGTAGGAGTATATCATAACCTAAGATTGATTAAAAAATATTAAAGAAAATGATAAGATTGAATATAAATTAGAACAAGGCTCTGCCATAAAGAGCGAAACATTCATTATAGAATTTAGAAAATAATTTAACATACATACATTTTTTACTATTATATATACAACAGAATTAATATTGTCTTAAAAAACATTTATTTGAATTTGACCGGTCAAATATCGGTCAATTGACCGTATCTCATTTGACCGATCAAATGCACAACCTGCTTATTACATTGTTTCTCTTTTAGTTTTACAGAAATAAAAGAATTGCCTTTAATTTCTTTTATTAATGTTTTAGCCTTTCTTTATATTTTATTCAATGAATCTATTATATATTTAATTAATAAATTTGGTCCTTTTGTAGAACACCCAATACACTGCAAATGGGAATAGGTTTGCTTAGTTTTTAAAAATTTTAAATTGGGAATTTTGGAAATATTCCCTCTCCTATTTTCCCAGAGAATATGTTAAAGTTTAACAAACCTATTGGTCACTAAATTTTAAGTTCGATAAAAAATGTCTCAATGACTTAAAATGTATTCTTTTTTAAATCCAGACCAGGCCTAAAATTTTAAATCCCACAGGTCTCTGCTCTATATAAAAAGAAAAACTAACAAAACTTTATTTTTTTTGCATTAAAACAAAGTTTTTTTTAATTAAAGTCATTCAATTCTAGAAATACGAAGCTGAAAATAATGAAATGCAAAATATCATAAATATAACCAATAATTATGTTTTGACGGGGGGGGGGGGGTGCAAGTGAAAATATGAAATTAATTTGACTCCAGAAAATTAAGGGGAGAAATATTATCTAATATATTATTAATATTTTGTCATAAAATCAAATAATTAGGGCTGTGATGATCCTTAAAATTTTTATCAATCCTATACGATATTTATATTAAATGTCTTAAAAATATCAATATTTTTATTTAATATAAAAGCAACTAATTTTTACGGATAATAAGTATATTTTTTTTATTCTTCAAAAGTTTATCATTTCATTTAAAATTACGTAAAGACCTCCTGTAACGATTAACTACCTAACACTTAGGGATATAGAGAAGAAATCTAGGGGATCAGGTGATCATAGAAAAGTTCGAGATCCCCTACAGGGCAATGTTTATTGATGGATGTAGTTTTGTTAAACGGCTTGATTAAAAATGTTAGAGCAAGATTTCAGCCAAGATATTATTATCTATTCCTCGAAATTCTTCCATTGGGTAATTTTTTTTTGGCAAAAACCTTAAGTTAGCCGCTTTTAAAAATCGGCTATATCGAACCTTTTAACACACTAGCTGAATGTGACTTGTTAGACAATTCTAAGTCCATTTATTGCAGCATTATAACATTATTTAATACAAGTTTCCTTTTAGGTTTTTTTTAGAATGATAGCTTGTCGACCCAGAAATAAAACATCACTGCTAATATTATGCCCACCTATCAATTACTACTATCAAAAAATTAATTAATATTATTAAAAATGCGTCTATAAAATAAATAACAGCTTTATAATATTTTATGATATTAAGATTTTGATTGTGTGACTCTTTATATAATTATTTAATAAATATCTCTATAAATGCTTGCCACTAGGCTCAAAGTCCCCAAGCATTGAAAGCTTATTACGAAAAAACGCCCAATTTAAAACCAAATATTCCTTCCAGTACCTCTCATGAACTCAAGACCCTTTTATTGCGACTACTCAAGAGAAATGCTAGAGATAGAATGGAATTTGGTTTTAACTTTACATAATTTTTTATGGTTATGAAGTCATAGAGTTGATCTTAAATGGTTATGAAGTCATAGAGTTGATCATAAATGTTTTTGAGATTAGTAAGAAAGAAGTTGAATGAGTTTTAAAAAAATATCTGAATATTTTTAAATTTTTAACTTTTAAATCTCATATTCTATTTTATTTCAGACGAGTTTTTCAACGACAAATTTTTCCACCTGCCTATTACTAAACAAAGTAATAAATATTACTTTTTATAATAAAATAAGGTGCATTTTATTAAAAATTTTTATTCTTGAAGTTTATTATGAAAATCTGACTCATTCCTACTATTTTAGAGGGAATTGTTCATGAAAAATAAATTAATAAGTCCATTGATTATTATAGAAAATTTTTCACACTGTCAACATATTTTTCCCCTAGAATCTTTTAAAGGGGGAGAATATATTAATTAAAATATTCTTAGTCACATTCAAAAATTAAATTACTAATTATTTATATAGATAACAATTCAATTATTTTAATTTATATATTTCGTCAATCTTTAATATTCGATATTAGACAAGAAAGATTATTTATTTAATTCCCAGAATTATTTTGAATCGTAATACCTCAAAAAGAAAATAAAAACATAAATAATGTTATTACATTTTGCCTTAGCCTCTTCTCCTCAAACCCCTAACATGAATTCCTCAAAACCGAGAAGAAAATACCCTCATAATAGCTCTAGTCCTGACAATACCATTAACATTAGCAATCATATTATTGATAAAATCGATTACAGAGCTAACGAGAGGCGATCAAGGGAAAAACATCTTTTAACCGAAACTATAAAGAATAATGCTATGCCGGTAATCACATATTTTATTGTAAAAGTCTTAACCTTTTTTGTTGTTGAAAGAAAAATATTTTTTGGGAGATATTTATATATAATACTGATGACCAAATTTAAATATTAAAGTTAAGAGTGAGTTTAATTTATAATGATACCTTCTATTTTTATAATTAAAACATATATTTTTTTAAATATATTCATTAAATATTAATTAGAATTCTTAAAAATATTTTTTTTTCATACTTTTTAATAGAATTAAATATAGTAACTACATTAATTTAAGAATCGAATCTAAATAAAATGATTTTAAAAAGCTGCAAATAATATATCAATAACAATGTGTGACAAGAAAAATGGGAGAAGAAATAAAAACAAGTTTTGGTGCAGAATTTGACGCTGAGTTCGAATCCGTTTTCCAAATTTTTCCTACACGCCAAGTTTTAAAAATATTACCGTATAAAGACAACTTTTCGAAATCTCAAAAATGGTAAAATTTAGGTCTTTATACGGATGTATTTTAAAAAGTATCGAATAAAAATCCCTGAATATTGGTGATAGTGTTAAACTTATATTTTTTTATAAATCTACTAATTTTTATAATTTTTTATCGATTGGTTTTTGAGAAAATGGTAAAGAATTTCGTTTTGGGGGTCTTAAGTTTTCAATTTAAATCACTATCAAAATTATTAACTTTAGAAGATAAATTTTATATAATTTTGGTTCAAATATGCTCAAGATTATATATTAATTCTAATTATGTTGCAAAAGTACTCTATGCCATGAAAATTCAACCAAAATCTATAAATTAAAAAAGTCGGTACAGATATTTTCGAACTTTTTAATTTGTACACTTTTATTGAATTTTCTCTGCATAAAGCATTTTTAAAGCAAAATTAAAGTGATATTTATCTTTTTTAGTTGTATTTAGTAATATTTTATGCATTTATGATCAATTTATACCAAAATCAGATATCTGTACCCACTTTTTTAATTTGTATTCTTTTTGAATTGAGCATTTTTAAAGCAAAATTCATTTAAAATGCAATAATTGGTAATTTTTTCATATTTTATATTAATATTTATCTTTTTTAGATGAATTTAAAAATATTTGTGTTTTTAATCAATTTATATCAAAATATATGATTTTCCAATGGAGTACCTTGAACCCATAGTATGGGCAATAAATAATAATGCCAAATAACGAGTAGGAAGAAAGGAAAAGAATTATTTTTTTTCGCGCTTAATTTTTCATATTCGCGCTTTTTATAAAGCGAAGAGAACGAAAGCCACAATAAATAAATATATTAAATGTTAGCTATATTAAAAAAGATTTTATAAATAAAGGTAAATTTAAAAAATATAGGTTGTTTAAAAATTGAGTGGATTTTATAAAAAAAAATGTATAATAATAATAAGGAAGGTTTGCTGCAAAAATTAAGATATTTCTTTAGTTGTAGAAGTTATAAACCTTCAAAAAGTGCTAAAAATGACCTTTTTGGCCACTTTAACCTAAAATAAATAAAAAACCTGACGTGCTAGAAAAAAACTGACAGCGGATTTAGAATATGCATAAAAAACTGTCTTAAAACATGTTTATTTTATTTTCTCCCAAAAGATCAAGTCGAAATTTGTCACACAGTGTAATTATTCATAAATCAAATTACTATGATTTCACATCTTAAAAATTATTTCCTGTCAACGAGGAGACTATTTAAAAAATATATCTTTTGCCTAATAGAAGAAAAAAATCAAGTGAAATTATTTAGTTCTTCTGTAGTTAAAATGCACCATTATTACGTATTTCGATAAGACCATTGAATCGTAGTTAAACATATAGATAAATGATCATTTAAAATAAATTTAGCATTTTTTACTAAATTAAATTATTCCGTATTCGACTTTGAAAGCCTAAATTACCAACAATAAATTTTAGGTTTCGAATAATCGCCCTCATAGCTCATCAAACAAAACTAATTCGAATAACGAAAATACGTATAAGCGCCACTTGAGCAATGTTATGGATAAAACTATTCTATGTGAAGAAAAACAAACTTATGTAAGTTTATTATTAAGATAATTGTTATTTTTACTCGCTTTATTTTGATTCTAATTTTTATCGCATGATGCTATCTAAGTATTTTTATTTATTAAAAGATGTGTTAAAGTTTTATGTATATACCGCGCTAACTAAGGCATAGCCTAATATTAGACTTACAATTATTATTAATTCACATTATCTCTACTTGATTATTATTAAGTTCTAATAAAGATCAAATTATCAAATTCATTAAAGATCAAATTCATTAAAGTTTTGTAATTATAACAGCCACTTTATAACCTAATAAAGAGAAACTCGTTTTGTAGGAAAATGAACTTAAAACACCCTAATGTTAAACGCAAGATTGGGGAAAAGCATATTTTAGTATGATTTAACTGATATAGGGGTTATTCTGGCACTCGATGCTTTGAATATAAAGTTAGGAAAGATATTGTTACACTAGATCCAAGATGACCACTTGCCAAAAGTGTTATTCGCAAGAATGTTTTGAAAGATATTCAGCAGGTCTTAGCAGTGATATTGGGTTATTGAGGTTCAATGAATACTTTAACGGCATGGAAATTTATGAGCAATAGGCCTTAGAAAAATGGTTAGGAAATTTAAAGACTATCCTATTTCGTTAAGAAGAGCTTGAGAGCCTTGTCAGGGACTTTATAGGCGCTAAAACTAAAAAGTATGCATCTTAATTTTGGACCAGTCAATTTAGGGAGGCTATATACAGAAGGTATAATTTTTGTCTTGTTATAGGTGAGTGTCAGGTCCTGGAGGTGAAAATCGAGTTGAGCTATTGAAAGAGAGAGCGATTGGAGGTTAAAAAGCCCGAAGGGGAGGGAGGAGAGGTGCTAAGGGACTATAACAGACAATATATTTTATATTTAATTATTTTATTTTTTTTAAAATAATATTTTATCGCTAGGGAAAATATGTCAATCATCAGATAGTTGATCATGGAGGTTTATCGAAATTTAAAAATGCCTCTCCCGATCGCAAGCATTTTAATTACCATCAATTCAATGCAAGCGGTCAACGTGTTAAAAATTGCAACGATAATCTTTTTCAAAATTTCTCGAAATGTGAAAGGAGCAAAATTCCATCAGAGGAAGTGACCACAAATCTTTTAAAATCATATCCTAAACAACGCGTTCTCAATGATTCTCCTAACCAGTTTTATGAAGTATATTATTACTAATAAATAATGTAATAAGATTTATTTATTTATCTTTAAAATGAAAATCTTCTTATATACTTAAATTTAATATAATATAATCTATTAGCTCCAGATAATTTACATTTGTTCTTCTTCAAGTATTCGATTTTTTGCATTTATAAAAACTTAAACAAAATATCCTATTTATTATATTAGGATAAGCTTTTGAGAGATTACGTTGTAGTATCCGATTCTAACGGTATACCTAGCCATAATGGTAAATTTATAATTATCATCGGAATTTCTTCTTTTCTTTTTACACGATTTATTTATATTTGGAGAGCATTTTTACAATTACATATCGCTTTTTAATGATCATTATTTATATAAATAATACATTTAAACCTTCTCCAAATAAACTAGAAAAGGAATCAACAGATTAAATTTGATTCTTATTAATCACTTTTATTTTTAATTATTTAAGCCACCAATCTCATCAATAAGGCCACAAAGACAAACGTTAAGTAAAACATTAAACTTGTTTATATATTTTTATTTAATAAATTTTAACATCCAATTCTCAAAATATATGATTTTATAATTCAATTTACCATTTAAAATCTTATTACAATTTTTAAATTGATATTGTGTTTTCTTTTTTTTACCTCTTTTTTACCTCTTTTTTCTCTCATCATTTTATTTAGAACTTCTTTACCTTCTAATAATTGCGCGATTGTCGAAGATTCAGTCATAAAAGGTCATGACAAAAATACTAAAAATTACACGGAAGAAAGTAAGGACGTATTGATAAAAAAACAAGCTTTAACACACGCAAAAAAATTAATTTCTGAACCTATACCAGTTATTTCCCGGGCTATATCTTTCGAAAAAGCAATTGAAATGAAAAATAGGCAGGATAATGCACATTTAGATAAGGTTTAAACATTGAATATATTTTCTTCATTTTATTTATTTAGAAATATGATAGGTTACAATATAATTTTTTAATTAATATCTGGTGTTGACTTACTAATTATGATAATTTCGAATGTTATATAGCATTTTTATTATATTTATTTTAAAAAAACATTTGAATTTTTCAGTGTTGATTGATTACTACATAATTTAATTAATATTATTATCGAGAAACATAAATAAAAAGGCAATCCATTTTTTTAAAAATTAATTTCTCTGCATAGATTTCCGATCCTTTTGAAAAAGATGCTGGACTAAAGACTTTGAAAAAAACTACTGGTAATAATGAAATTTCTTCTCAAGTTCCATCCACACCTCCCACTTGCGCGAACTCTTTCAATAATTGCTCCTTGAAAATATCATCACTTTCTTTACCATCACGTATAAAATACACAATAATTTATTGTTATTGCCACTCTGTATATTTGCATCTTAATGCATCAATTTACTCATTACTTTTAATAATAATTAGAGATATACAGAAATCAAAATTTTTACGCCTGGCCTGGATTTTAAAATTTTCTTCTCCCTGCCCAGTGTCCAAATTTTTATTATTTTATAATCCAGCCCGAAATTTTTAAAATCTTGTTTAATTTGAATAATGTTTCAAAAAAGGAAATTAAAAATATGAGCAGTAAGTAAATGAATATTAAACGCTCATTATGTAATTTTTCAACTAATTATTTTGTAATATATATAATATAATTTATTTTTTTAAAATTGGCCTCGCCGGTTTTATATAAAAAAAAATTTTTTTTTCGACCTGACCTAGGTTTATTTTTAAATTTAGAACAGGCCCGGATCCGAGCCTGCATGTCTCCGGAAATAATAAATAGGAAGGCCAGTTACTCATTCATTAATAAAATCACTTTTTATTTATAATTGTTTTTTTAAAATGATTAATTCAGTTCAATTTAGTAATTGTATGCCGCCCTATGGTAATAATCATATTAGAACAACCTCTCCTAAAGTCACTTTTAATCATGTGAATCAATATATTTATGCACCTCAAAATAGCTCTGCCACCCACAAATATCATTCTTCATTTACACCACCTAACTCCTTAACAAGTTTTTTTTAAAATTCAATTAACTTATGTACTCAATATTATAAAAATAAATATAGTATTTTATAATGCCCCATTCAAATAATACTCATCATAATTACTCATTTTGTTTTTCAGACTCAATTTTTTTTCTTTTAATTTTATTCATTTTATATATGTTTATTTGAGAAGATCTCAAAATAGAGTATTAAATTAATATAACATTAAAAGAGTTTAAATCAATATGATTTTTTAATAGTAAACTTTACATTGTCAAAAATTTAATATAAAAAAATTACCATAATAAGATAACTTCTTTCCAATTATGAACAGAAATTGGTACAAACTTCAATTAAACACGATAAAATATGTTTTAAATTGATAGACCTTTTAATTTTTTAAAAATAAAATAACAGAGTATGCACCAAATTCTTCTCCCAATATGCCCTTTACCAATAATAATCAATTGCATTCAATAAGATCAAATACCGTCCCCGATTTCGTTTTAACCTATCAAAGTAAATTTTTTTATGTTAAAATATAATTTATCTTGTTTAGTTTTATAAATTGTATTTATATCTATAATGAAAGTTTTATTAATCGTTAAATTTTCTATTTGCTGCCCAGAGCCTTTGGCCTTAAAATGATGTGATCTAAAAGAAAACCTTGGTGTGCTTAAAAAGAATTTTAAAAATGCAAACACGGCTGAGCCAGGTTTAAAATTAAAAATGTAATAAACTTGGGATTTTTAAAAAATAAACTTAAAAGACAACATTCATTGAAAATTGCCGGATGGATTATTTAAACATTCTTTCACTTCTCATATTTTTAATTTCCCCTTGAAACCATTTACAACAAAATACGGCTCAAATTTATTTAGAAATAAATTTTGAAAACCTGGCCCATGAGATTTTTTTTTAAATTTAAGCCTAGCTATAAAACAGAAAAAATAATTTAAATCTGTGCCAGCCTTGAAAATATATACCTTAACTTGCAAGGTATCTACTATTTATTTATAAAACTGATTTTTTTTATTTTAAATATAAAACTGATTTTTTTTATTTTAAATATAAAACTAATAAATTATCAAGATAACAATATGGACAATGGAATAAATAATTTTAATGTTGACAACGGATTTTTATTTCAAAAACAATCAGCTATCCCTGGTAACACTGAATATTTTCACAGCTTTCCTCCTGATTTATCGGAAGAGACATTACTTGAAGTAATGATGAAAAATATATATAGAAACGGATTTCGTTTTTATTAATATAATATTTAAAAGACTATATGATCGAAAACCATAAAGACGGAGACATTTTTGCCTAAAAATGGGCGATAATAATTTAAATATACTATGATTAATAAATCATTAGTGTCGTTGGTTGACATTCAAATAAAATGACAATATGATTTAAGTTTTATAGATATATTTTGCTTTTCAAAATTTACCGTTTTGCCTCTTGCCTTCCTCCTAGAAATGGGCGATCGTTCCAGGTCCCTTTATTATGCATTAAACATAGAAATGCTATATTTTTTGAAAATAAATTTTACCAGCATAATTTTAAATTAAAAAGTTGATCAGTTTTCATACTACAATAAATTAAATTTAAAAAATTCTTTTCATTCGTTAGAAAGAGCACAACGAAATATTGGCCAAATTGAATTTCGTGCACGTGTTGGTGGAATGTATCATGGAAATTATAGTCTTTAAGAAATCTCCTTTCAGTGAGTATCTGATGTCCGATATTCAACCTCAGCAAAATAATTCAGTGAGTCACTTTATGTTTTTTTATTCCCATATCATAATGCTTGTTGCCGTTTTTAAAGTGTATAATTTTTTCGTTTATCTTTAATGCATTTTTTGGTTTAAAAACTAATTTAATATTTCTTTATCAGTATCTCAGTATAGGTTCTTAATTTTTTTTCTTTTCTATAAAGAGAGAAACCAAAAAGGATTGTAACGAAGACGATGTATTTAAGATGGATCTTGAAATAGTGACTTTGTATATCCACGTTTTGCAAATTTTAAGCGCTTCGTTAGATGTCGCGTCTCAAGAGATGGCTTCCAAACGGTTACAATCATCAAATGCCGTTCGATCAGGTTTTTTTTATATAATATTTCATCGACCATAATTTATAACACAAATTTTTATATATTTTGTTATATCTCCGTTTTAAAGTAAGAGCAAACCTTGATATTTTATTAAATTATTTTTTCATATTATATAAGATGTGTGGGAATGATATATATAAAAAAATAATGTTACATATCCTTTGTAAATTATAAAATAATCAATTAAGGTAAAATTTAATTTTACATATATAGTTATACTTTCCATGCACCGTTTTTATCACGACTCTTTGCTCATGTGTGAACAATCTATAGAAGTTATCAATCGTAAATACAAGATTAAAAAAGATACGCTACTTTTTCATAATTGCGAAAATGGTGAAAAAATTGTGTCTTCGTTGATGCCAGCCGAAAATTTGATTTATGAGTATTGTGTTCACTTGGTATAACATTTCACCTTTAATATCTTTCCTTTCCCTTAAAATTTTTTATTGGATTAATACAAATGGAGATTTTTTTTAATTTCAAGATATTAAAATTATCATTTTCGTGCATTTTAAATAGCTTCTTATATGCAAAAATTTTAGAAAGTGCTTTTATCTCAAATTCTTTATTATATACGATACTTTTTAAAAAAATTAGTGTCAAGCGGCGGTATTGGATGAATTATTCGGAGAATCTCATGAAGTTAATAAAATATATAATAATCAATAAAAATATATAATTCATCCTTTTTTTTTTATAGTGCTTCGAAAAATATCACAAAGCTCACATTTTGCTACATACATTGCACCAGCAAATTATGGATAATCCCGACTCCGATGATGAAAGGATTTTAAAAACCCGTAAATTGATTCGATTTACCTTTTTAAAAAATATAATATATCCTCGGACGGGGAATCAGGATTTTCTCCTTTATTCAATGATGGATGAATTGAATGAAATTCATTGTTAGGATTTGATAAAAGGTCTTTTAAAAAGGAATATATCTGATTAATGGATCTTATTAACCCTTATGACAGCAATTCATGAATCTTCCATCAAAGGGTTTTTCCAAAGAAAAATTTAGAAAATCACAACATTGGCACTTAGTGTTGAACCAATGATTGTTGTGTAGGAATATCTATCTAAAATAAATAATAAATTATAATTACAATTTAGTACTTTTATAAATAAAATAAATCTGAGACCTGCTAAAAATTATACATACAATTTAATATTTTGGTAATTAAAACAAATAAGATACCTGCAGGCCTGGGCTATATTATAAACATATGCCAGGCCTATAATAATATTTTTTTAAATATTCGTGCTTAGCAATTTCTGATTCCCATCATCAAATAAAGGTGAAATTTAATATTTATCCTTCATTGAATAAGGAAAATATTCTGAAAACCCGTTATTCTTGACTAGCTATCAGTTAGTTAAAAATAATGTTGATTATTAGTGTTTCAATTGTTAAGCGTGGGTTATCATATGAAGCTTTCTTGAGTATCATTGAAATCTTTAAAAATACACATGCTATAATTTAACTTGCTTTTCGTATATTATTATAGTACATTAGTTATTTTCTTAATCCCTCCGCTATAATTTAACTTGTTTTTCATATATTATAGTACAATAGTTATTTTCATAATCCCTCTAATAAGTTTCTTAAACTTATGTTATCTTAATTTTATTTCAAATATACCGTAAATAAAATTAAGGTCGAAATTACAAATTTTCTTATCTTTCTTTTCATCATGCTATAATTTAACTTTTTTTATATATTATAGTACATTAGTTATTTTCCTAATCCCTCTAATAAATTTCTTAAATTTATTTTATCTTAATTTTATTTCAAATATTATCATAAATAAAATTAAGGTAAATTTTATACAATCAATAAAGGAAGTTAAGAAAAATTATTACTTTAAAAGTATTTTGTAACAAGATATCTACTGGGTCTAACTGCTTACTTTGGCAAGTTGCTATTTTTTAAAATTTTAAAATAAGGTAAGTTAAAAAAATTATTACTTTGTCTAACTCCTTATTCAATTTATTTTTATTTATCAAAAAATAGAAACATTAAAATATTTTAAATATAGCAGGTTTTCATGTGAAAATGAATGATAAAATGTTATTAATAATCATGGCATGTTAGTTCTAGTATACTAAATTTCACGGGTATTAGTTCTAGTATAGTTTTCTAAATATCACGGGCGTTAGTTCTAGTCACGGCCTATAAGAAGATGTTTATGATATGTGAATTGAAAGTAAGCGCATGAATGTTTGAATTTGGTATGATATTATCATTGGACCAAATAAGCTATCATGATTTTTATTGGACGAATATTTTTTAAAAGAATACTATTGGCTAAATTTGATTTACGTTGTGACACGGCTTTTATATATCGTCGGTCTAGAATTGGAGTGCTCCACTCGACATTTTCAAAATTTTTGAGTTAGAAGAAAATAAAAACTAGATTAAAAAATATTAATTTTTGCCAAAGTTATTGTCAAAATTGATCAATAACTTTTTCTTATATTTTATTTTAAACTTTAATGTTGATTTTCTCATTTTAAACAATTGCGCAAGTGGAACACTCCAATCTAGACCGACTATATATTATAGAACATATTTAAATTTATTAAACCCATAAACGCTAGAGGGATAAAAGAAATATTGGCCTTCCTATAACAATTTAAGAATTTGCCGAGGGCCAGCTCGGTCTGAATAATTTTTTTTAAAATAGATCCTCCGTGAAAAGTTCTATTTCTTCTTGCTATGTCTTAGATACAACAAACCAAATAATATTTGATATGTTCGAAATTATGAAAATATATATACAATCATTCTTTTTAGATAAATAAAATGTTAATTTTAAAAATATATTATGAAGGAGATATGTATAAATATTTAACATATTTAAAAGTAACTCACTACTTTTGTTATTACATTTCAAAAAGTTCTATTTAGAAAAAAAAATGTTAGTTACCGTACTTTACCAACACTTTGCTATTTATGTGAAATAAACTATATTATTATTATTAAGACAATCTCCGTAATTGGATTTGAAAGTTCCAATAATAAATTCAGGGTTTATTTAGGATAGATTACTCTCTAAAAACATACCATAATTTTTTATATTTATTTATTATTTTTTTAAAGTAAAAAATAGCGTAGAAAACCGTCTATTGAACATCAGCCTACGTGCGCACGTTCCTTTAAACCCTAACGAAATTAATTGTTTTTAATGATTTGAGGATTTCATATTGCAAAATTATAAAATCAATAATTATTACGATTTATAACGGTATGTGTCCCATTTTCCCCCCTTATATTTATCTTGTTCAATTAAATATTTAATAGAATTATTTTTAGAACCTTTTAATTAGTAATTATTATTAATATTAGCTTTGTCATAAATTTATCTATACAACTAAAGTAATGTATCTTAATATATAAAAATTTACTAGTGGCAATCTTTATGTATATACATTTTTCACTTAATTTATACTGGCAGTAAGATGCGAACATTTATTATATATATATATATATATATCGTATTTTATAAAACTGCTTATATTTATTTTATAAATTATTTATATTTTAATATCTGTATTTATAAAAAAATTTTAAAATAATCAATATAATAACATTTTATTTTGGTATCAAAATCGCTGAATGATACTATTAAATTGCTTATTTTCACTTGGACTTATACTCTCAAAGATGGACATCGCTGAAGTAAAAATATAGCAATTTCTAGCTACTGTTACTTCAAACATTTATTAATTAAAAATTATCAGTTAAGGGTTTTAATTATTTTTTATCTTACATTCTTAGAGGCTAGGTTAGTTTCAACGGCCTGTATAAAAATATATAGCATCTAATATGTATTATTAAACCCATCATTTACACAATAACAATATTATAAAACATTTTTTAAAATGCTTTATCTTTTCGACAAACATTAGAGGTCGAATAAATATATAAACAGTTGAAACATATTAATTTTATATCCTTTATTAATCTAAAATACTATATATAATGTTTATAACGAAAAAAATTTAAAGCATTTATTTTTTTCAAACATTTCGTCAATTTTTTTTGGTTAGAGACCAAATTAAATAAGTTTTCCACCGGTGCGGAAGAAGATAACAATATATCGTTGTTTCGTAAAAAAATCCTTTCACGGTGGAAAATTATTAAATTGTTTTTTTTGTCTTTAATCTATATAGATATACTTTGAAGTCCTTTCACTGCTTCGTTTTATCAATGAAATTTTTATATCCAAAATAGTCATTAATATTAAATTAATGTAAGGTAAGGATCCTTATACCCGTCTAATCTACTAGCAGTAATGGATTCTTAGGGTAAATTTTTCAATCTCATTGATGCAACCTTATTTTAACAGTTACATAAAACCTATTGACCCCACTCCCCTTGAAATTCAGAATAGATTTTATAATTGCATTGCATGATATAAGATTAAATTAAAATAATGAAAAATTATTTCTTTTTTCCTCTTTTAGCATATATGAAACATGATTTTTAGATAATTCTTACTTACAAAATGTTGCCAATTTGTTAACAACTTACTCGCTTGAAAAAGCCATATACTTGAATTAACTATCGCTCAAATTCCGTAAATTTGCACATTATTCAAAAAAATCTAAATTTAATTATTTTCTTGAGAAATATGAATTCAAGATCTGTCAGGTCGTGTAGTGTTCGATCCTAAAATTTGTTGTAAGGTTAATAGAAGCCGGACAGACCACCTTGTATGCTCTAACATTTAAAAAAATAAAATATCTCCCATTTTGGCTTATATTTGAAGTAGATGTCTGCATTGGGCGGGTTTTTAGCCCGCTCGCCTAAATTTTTTAAAAAATGGGCGGTTTAAGAGAAATATTTAAACTGCTGGCGGGCGGGTTAAAAACTTTACAACTTTTATTTGTTATTTTATATCGTTAGCATTTAAAAAAATTTGCTGCCTGAAATTTCTTTTAATACCAAATTACCTCTGGGCCTAAAACGAATTATTTGATATTCGATTCGTATTTTACGAATACGAATAACACAATTATTCGATTCGAAATTTCGAATATGAATAATGAGGAAAATTATTTATATATAAATATTCGTAATTATTCGCATTTATTGCAAGTAAAATAAAAAGAAGTAATTAAATTTTCCTAGTGGATATCATTTCGTTTTATTTTATTTCCTATTATCAAATATCAAATCATAACAAGTTATATTTGCTGAAAAAGTTTAATGGAAGAAAAGGAAATGCTTCAAAGTAAAATATAATTATTTTATTTTGATTGTTTCTCTTTAATCATTTTTGATGTTATGAACAAGTCAAAACATTTTTATAGAGTGTGCCTCTTTCCCATATTCTCGAGTTCCTGGCAGATAAATAACTAAATTTTTTTGACTAGTTCTTATTATTTGATTAGGAAAATCCTTTTCCCATTTAGTAACCTTATTTTTGGCAAATTTTAAAGACAATCTAATTCAGATAGTGCATTATAATATCTTCATCCTCTATTACATTGTCATAATCACCTCTAAAAATTATATTAATAATTAAATAAAGGAAATTTATCCTACTAAAGTATTTTTAATAAATAAAATCATAATAAAATACTTTCTAAAATTTTGTTATATTTTATATGCAAAAATGACAATTAGTTTAGAGAATCCTTAAAAGTGTCATCTTTAAACATCTGTAAAATTTTTTTTGCAAAATATTTTATAAGCTTTAGAAAAATTTCGAATCGAAACGAATAATGATTTTATTATTCGTACGAATACGAATAGCGCAATAGTATTATTCGATTCGTTTTTTTGTAGGCCTACCTATAACTGAAGATGTTGTCAGAAATAATTAATTTGATAAAAAACATGTTGGATTTGATTTGAACGAAAGAATAGAAAATCTGATTTTACCCGTTTTCTTAAAGCATATTCAATTAACGATAATTAAATTATAATCGCAATGTTTAAATTAGATAGCATCCACGTCAAAATTAAAATACAACAAGAGGGAAGATATGGCTGTTACAGGGGAGAGCATTACCTATTGACAGCAAATTTAAATCCTAAAGTAACGAATTTATAAACAATTAATTTAAATTACTTTTTTTTATTTATTATTAATGGTTTCACTTTTTATTTAAATATCTCACTTGAGTAGAGGATATACTTCAAACTGATATCCTAGTTTGATAAACGATAAGAAAAGGATTTATCAAAGCTATCAAGATTAGCTAGAAAAATATTGGCAATTCCAGCAACAAGTGCTTTTCTGAACGAGAAATTAGCGTTGCTGGAAGGTTTTAGTAACAGTAAATATTAATTTTATATTACAAAAATATTTTATTAGATCAAATAAATTTCTTAATCCGAAATTTAAATGGAATATATTCTTTGCTTTATATAGCATTTTCCTATATTATAAAACTTTTTGTAGGGATGTAGCGCTGTAATTAAATTATTTTTTTTATTAAATGCTTAAAAAGAATGAAAGAATGAGCTTATATATAATGGGAGGCGTATTTTCTTATAAATAAAGGGCGGATGGGTAAAGATTTTATATTAAAGGGCGGGCGGGTTATATTTTTTAAAAATATAGGACGAGGGGGGGGGGCTTATGGGCTTAAAACCCGCGCATTGCAGACTTCTAATTTGAAGTATCTCCCTGCTTTAAATAGGCGTTTTTCAATTATGGCTTTGATTGTTCTGCCAATTTTATTTTGAGTATAATTATAGATTTTGTCAATTCTCAGCGTCTACATGAATGGGGGAGGGGGGGGGGGGCTAGGAACAGTTTGAATCAAATTTTTATTGAGTAGGTATAGGCACCTTTAAAAGGGGTAGGATAAATTTATTGGGGGATTATCTAATAAATTTTCAGATGAAATAGGACAAAATATATTGCTGTAAAAATTAATACTTTTATTATAAACCTATTATAATACAATGATATTGCTGATCATCAATCCAATATATATTGCGAGGAAATCAAATTGACATTATTTTCAAAATAAAACTTTCCGCTATCCTTTTAAATGTAATTTAAAAGGGTTAGACATTCTCAGCAAACTCATATTTATGACAAAATGCTATAATAATGAATTCATTAAAAATTAGGGAGTTTTGAATATATGATCTAAAAAATAACTCTTTGTAGAGCTAAAATAATTTAAGTTATTATTTTTAAAATTTATGAAGGGAGTACCAGTATAATTAAAAAGGTGTAATTAATAATGGAAAACATGCGGGGATTTTTGAGGGGGGGGGGGTAGTCATAGATTTTTGAGGGGGTTTTTATCCAGTGAAAATCCTCTTATGTAGACGCTGCTTATTCCTAAGGTTACTCGTTTTCAGCTGGGTCATGAGTTTGTTCGAAGCTTATCATCTTATTAAACTTAATGCATTCTGAAAATTTCCATTCATGAGATTGGAGTTTATTATTCAAGAAGGTAAATTAATATCACTTAAATATTGGTTTCTTTTGTTCGGTGAACACTTTTTGTAAAATATATTTATCAATCAACAATATAAGAATACTCCCTATATGATATCTGCACCCGTGGGGCAGGTCATGCAAACTTTGATAAAAACTATTTATTAATCCCCAATATAAGAAATGAAATTTTCGTTAGATTGCTAAATATCGATATAATATGTATTTTCAAATCCCTATCAGATTGCAAGGTCTGTGATGAGGCATGCAAATTTTGATAAAATCTATATTACTACCTATAATAAATCAACCTTGCGTTAGAATGCTCAAATTTCGATATAATATATATTTCATACTCCCTGTAAGATATTTACAAAACCCCTGGTCTGCAAGCCGGACCATACAAATTTAAAAATTATAACAGTGGGCTGGACAATTTGTACATAAAAAGCAATAACAACGATGAGCTTATTTTAAGAGTTGGGGTTTGCCAGTTTGTATTTTATTTTAATTATAAAATACATATAACAAATCTTGACTAGTTCAAATTTGTATTTTGATGATAAATACAGATACCTAACATAAATATTAACCATTCACTGCATCTAAGCCATACTCCAGATTTATTCTTATAGAAGGAAATTTCAGTGAAAAAGAATTAAAATTCCAAATATTTTCTATAAAAAATTATTATACTAAATCTACTCCAAATAAAATACTAAATTTACAAAAAATAAATAAGTTATTTATAATATGATCCAATTTCAAATACCAGATATCAACATAAATGATTTATAAAACCTTTTTTATAGAAAATGATAGCCATATAGTAAAGAGTCAAACTCATAATTCATATTAGTTTTTCCATAGATTTTCCATATAAATTATAAATACTCAAAAGTAATAACAAAATTCTCTACAATTCCTAAGATAGGTATTCTAAACATGCTGGAATACACTTAAGGTAAAATCATATTTTTAAAATTAAAAAAAACGATCTAAATTTAAAAAATAACACATTGACGCTAAAATATACACTACTATTTTCTATATGATACTTAAAAGTACAATGAAATAAAATGTTTATTATTATTTTACCAGGGTTTTTGCAGTTTTTACTCTGGTATCGGAATAAAATAGATAAATATTAACAAAAGTAAAGCAGATTCATAAACTATAAGTGGTCCCAAGCTAAATAGCATTTTATTTTATAGCTAACTGCTACTGATGACAATTATTAACCTGAAAATTATATTCAACTATAATATATATAAAAATCACAGCAAATTTAGCCAATAGTATTCTTTTAAAAAATATTCGTCCAATAAAAATCTTCCAAGTGTTATGCCATTCTATCATGTGATTATAGATTTTAATTGAATAAATATTTCTGTATGCTCAAGGTCAAGATGTCTCAGATTTAGATAAATTATCAATAAATGAAAATCTATCAAATTAAACAATATAGCCTAGCCATTCGTCAGAGGATAAATATTTAAATTTTCACAGTATCAATGTTTGAATTATCAAATATATTTTCTTACAATAAAGATCTTATTGAAAAATGGATCCATGTCATGAGAAGATGCGAACTTACTCAAAACTCTGGAGAACAATGTAATTTTGCAACTTGATAAATGGAATTGTTATCATGGAAGCAGATTTTGGTTTTGTTATTTAATACAACTCAATTGCCGTTAGCATATGATATTTTTAAAATTTTGCCATTTATTAACATATTGGTTATCGTATATGATATTCCATGTTATGTATGGAACTTTCAACTGAATATCTCTTATCTTTTCTGAAGATTTGGCCTTTCTACATGCATTCCATAATTCTGTATATTTTCTCACTTCATAATTGTTGAATGTATGTTATTCATATAACTTATAATAATATTTTTGATTAAATGTATAATCTTTTTGTTTAACTTATAAATAAATTGTCTATGATTGAAGTATGTCTTAAATTTTATTTTATATTTTGTACTTAAGTAATAAATCATTTATTTGGAATTAGTTTGAAAAATTTCTTTTTGAAGATATGGCTATGCCTGATAAAAAAAACCAAGGCCCATACAACTTTCATATTCTAATTGTATTTTTAAATGCATTATGACTTTTTATATATTTTATTTCAGTTCTCAACTACCAAAATTATTATGGTCTTTGGTGGGTTTGAGAAAATTTTCCCAAGTGCTTGGACCTGGCGTGGGAATTTTTTTAATATTATATATTAGGTTTAGATGTAATATTTAACACAGAATATTTATATGGCTCACAGGTAAAAGCTAATTTAAATATATTTTTACTCAAAAAATAGTATTCACTTCACTCTTAGTCTAAATGGGTTGGTAATGGTCTGAAGTAGGGGTGAGCAAGGTTAAAAGAATAAAAAATAGATATGGTTTTTAGAGATTTAACTATCTCCAGGCTTGGGAAAAAATTTTGAAAATTAGTTTAGGTTGGCCAGATTGAGAATTTTTTTTTATAAGATTTTTATGGGTTGGGCTGGGCTTAAAAAATATTTTTAAAAATATATTGGGCTGGACTTATGGATTTTTCAAAATTATTATCAGCTTGGACGCTTGGAATTTTTTTATTATTAACTATGGGTCAGACATTGTCCTAAGACAAATTTTTTGCAGGCCTGGGCTCGGCTTGATCAAAAATTCAAGGCCCATAAAATCTGATTTTGATTCTATTTTTAAATTCATTATGATTTTTTAAATATTTTATTTCAGTTCTCAACTACCAAAATTATGATTTTTCATTGGGGTTGGAAGAATTTTTTAAAATTATTATGTTGTACCTTGCTTGGAATTCTTTTAATTTTAAATATTGGGCATAGGTGATCAGTAATATTTTACAAATAATATTGATATTATCTAGTAAAAGCTTTAAATATATTTTGTCTCAAACCATAGTATTTACACTAAGTTTTAATGAATTGAACCTGGCCTGAAAAAGGGGGGGGGGGGGTAAAGATAAAAAGAATAAGGATATTATTTTCAAAAAACAGGTAACAATTATCATAAAAGTAAGGAGAAAATTCTCATTCCCCATCATTTTTGATTAAGAGTAATCAACCCGGTCTTATTTGTTTTAGTTTCCAAAAATATTATATATTTTATATAATACTTAATAAAGTTTCAATAAATTATTTGTAATTATAAATAAACCATTTTTGAATATGCCGACATTTTTCAACCGACACGTTTCCTCTATATAAATTTATTTTAAAATTCTGGGGCACATCTTTATACTTAACGAATGGGTAAATTATTTTCATAAAAATTGTATTTAATTTCGACGATCTGATTTGTTATACATATTTATACAATATTATTTTGAATTGTTTAATAGCTATTTTAATGTGTTATGAAATAAGTACTTGAAAATTTATATTTTAGGATAAAATTGAAAAATATATTTTTACATATTAATTCGGAACACGGACATGTGTCTGCATAATTAGTTTATAGATGATATCGATGAGATATCCTTTTCATTTAGCAAATATCAACATTTAAAATTTAATTAATTTTGTAAAATTGAGATATATTTTAAGTGTAAGTTTATTTCATATTATAGGCATATCCAGGATATTCATAGGGAGAAATTTATAGGTGTGTTGCCTCGTATTATTTTCGGGTCATAGATTAACGTTTAGCCGGACTTTGTTGGGGTCACATTTCTCTTTATATCATATTAATTTTTGATTAATAGATAACTTTTTATGTTTTTTTCTGAAAAATAAAATTATAATAATTTTTATTATTTACATATTCTTTAAAAAAATAATAAGTAGCTTTAATAGTATTATTGTTAGTTTAGTTTTCTTGTTTTAAAATGCCTTAATAGAATGTTATCAATCTAAATCCACATTTAAAATACTCTTTGGATAAACAATAAAAATTTTTATATAGACTAAAAATAAAAATCTGAATCAACCATTTTTATTGAAGGTTACAGGCAGAGATGTGAACCCGGACCCTGAACCCTCCTGGACCCTCGTATTTTGGCTGAACCCGGACCCGGACCCTTTTAAAAAGTGGAGGGTCCAAGGGTTTAGGGTGTTAAAAATTTTAAAGCAAGGGATGTTGTAAAATATTTAAGAACTCCCACAATTGTTAGAATATTAAAATCCATGAAAATGTAAATGGCAATTTTAGATTGCACAACACGTTGGTCCTCTATGTGTATGATGCTAGAGCGATTATTAAGTTTGAAAGATTTCTGTAATGATTTTATCATAGGAGCATGTGAAATCATTTTGTCAGAAGATGATTGGAATCAAGTAAAAGAGCTTACTAGTGTGCTGGTTCCTTTAAAAATAACAACATTAAGAGTGCAAGCTGAACAATTATGTTTATCGGATTTTTATGGCATATGGTTAAGATGTCGATTAGAGTTAGGGAGATTAACAAGTTATTTTTCAAATGAAGTATTAGAAAATACGAAAATAAGAGAGCAACAATATTTACAAAATAGTGTTGTATATGCTTCGATATATTTAGACCCGCGATATCAGGTTTTATTAAGTAGTGAGCAAAAACAAATGGCTATAGACCATCTAGAAGATTTATGTTATACCCAAAACTCTATTATTTACAATACATTGGTGGTTACAACAATATCTAATGGTTGTAGCGATAACAATGATAATGATAACGATATTGATGATCTGGAAATTTTACTATTAGATAGAGAAAAAAAAATTAAATTATCATCTGATAGAAAGGAGCAAAAAATATCTATTGTATCTTTAATAGAAAAGTTCTCGGAAGTTATGAGAATTAATAGAGATGCAAACATTTTAAAATTCTGGGAGGAAAATTCTTCAATATATCCAGAATTATATACCTTTTCTAGAATCGTCATGGCTGTACCGGCGACACAAGTACAATAATTTATGTATTATAAAAATGACTATCCATCTTAGGTAAGCGTAGAACGTGGATTTTCATCGTTGACTAATTTACGTGGAAATCTGAAGAATGATATTTTAGAAGGTATCATGATTGTGCGATTGAATAAAATATTTAAAATATAAATTATCTCATTTCGAATTATAAATGTGTATATATTGAAGTATAATAAAAAATGAATGAAAAAAAGTCTTATTTTGAGTCATTATTTTTATGTTTCCTCTGAACCCGGACCCGAACCCTGGACCCGGGTCCTTTTTAAATTTATTACCGGACCCGAACCCTTTTTTTTGTCGAAGGGTTCACATCCCTGGTTACAGGTCAGTTCCGTCCCTAATTTTTAGGATGGAGCGCGGCTATATCTTTGGACAGGATATCAAAAATTCAATGGAGAGACGAGTTCGCACCTGTCCCCAATATTCTCATCTCTTGTGTTTTTTAATAGAAAATATATTTATTTTTTTAACATTATCATTAAAATTAATATATTATTTATTATATAAGAAATAATAAATTATAATATAGTTCTTTTGTATTCTAGTGACCATTTTTGGCCCAGAAATTCTGTTAAGATAGTTTAAACTTTTATTTTGAAAATTATTTTAGTTTATTCTAAATGACTTATTTATAAATAAGATCATTATCTATCTTTCTTCTATTTCTATAAGATCATTCTCGTTAACTTTTTTTTTCATTTAAAAAGTGCGCGAAGACATTATAAAAAACATAATATTAATAAATTATACTCATTTTTCAAAAAAATGTTAGGCATGAATTTTTAATAAAATTTTTACCTATAAAAATTAAAATTGTTATAATATTTTTTATAATTTTAAATTATAAGAAAATTTTTCATCTTTTTTTGAAATACGATACGCGTCCTCAAAGCGTTGGTTACGGTTCATCTTAATTATATTATAGCAAAAACGGGGCACTTCCCAGCGGATGGAAGTTCATCACCTCTTATTTGTATGTCAAATAAATTTAATAAAACAACTTTCTTAATGATCTAAAAGTTAGAATATTAATTTTTTATATAAAAAAAATTATAATATTCTTCAAAATCAAATATGCATTTTAACATTTAAATATTGTTTGGTTTATAATTTATTTTAAAATTAAATATTTGTCATCTGTCGCTCAACAATATTATATTTCAAATCAATAAAAAAAAATCCAGAAAATAGATCGTCGAAATATTCAAAAATTTATAATTATTTTTAAATTCGATATTTATAAAATTATGAAATTATTTTGATTCCATTTCAACAAAACTCTATAGTTTTAAACTTAAAGGTATTCACCTGACTTTCTTCTATTAGTTATATAAGAAGGTAATAATTTTTTTTCAACATATAATTATTTAAATTATTATATAAAATAAAACTTTCGAGATTTATTCTCTTAATCAACACCAAAAAAAATATCGAATTAAATCTATTTCATTTATACACTTTAATCCAAAAAATGTGAAAGTTTAGTAGCCAGAAAACATTCGATGTATGCGAACCCATTATTTTATTTTATATAAAGCCATAATTTGTAAATAATATTTAATACTTTAATGAACAAACGTATTATAATAATCAAAAAATTAGAGATATCAAATTCAAGTTTTCAGTAGTTTATCAAACATTATCGAAAAACTTTGAAGACACACTTTAGTAAAATAAAACACTTTCAATGATTATATTATACAGCAACCCTGAATGCAGAGCAGTGATCTAACTTTATCGCTATTTTTTTATTTAGCCCGAAGGCTTATTTTTTTTAGTGAGCTTAAGGCCATGCCAAAGAGGAGCATTTGAATTTAGCGTGTGGTCGCGGTTAAATAAAATACTAAAGCTGGAAATATATAGTTATAAATTTACAAAGTAGTTTTAAATACATTTTATATCACACCTATTTAAAATATTAGAATATTTAGAAATTAATACAACTATACTAAGCAGATGATAAATTTAATAATTCTATAATATTATGCGCTCAAGCGCTAGAAGGCTTAGGTATGGCCTTAGCCTAATACGCATCATTTTCCTCTATAAAAACGAAAGGATGATTTACTTAATTGCATTTAATTGCTAAGTTGTTTCTATATTATCATCCCCCACTGCAGCACAAACACCTACTATTAGTGTTTAACCTCCTTGCGTAATCAAGGGAATGAAAGCAGGATCTATACCGTCAATGGCTTAACTTCTAGATCATTTAACCTGTTCTTAATTTGTTGATTGAGGGACAGTTGCTTTTGTAAGTTGGAACCTGAAAGGCATGAAAGCCAAATAAGAAAAACTTTTTCCAGTGCTCTGGGGATTTAAAATTGGTTAGAAGGTTATTAATAGTTTTACTATATGATTTAGCCGCAAGAAGCCTGGCTCCCCGGGGAATTCTTGAGATAATATGAGATTTAGGTAAATTTGTAAATTCATCGGAGAAAGAGGGTATTGGTAACTCATTAGAAGTACAGGGTGAGTCCTCAACAGATAAATTATTAATTGTGGTGAGAGCTGGAATATACGAAGGGGATGTTAATGTTAAATGCAATAGATATATGGAGGGGGAATAGGATCTGTGAAAGACTGATCTGATAAATGACACCAGTTACCACTTTTACCGTGCTTCCTTAGGGTTCCGTTTTTGTTGATTAAGGTATGTAGCCCACAGTTTGGACATTTTTTTTCTAATTTGGATATGTGTAGAAGGGAACATTTATATTTATAGGGGGAGGGGCAAGGGGGGAAAGGGAATTAAAAATTTTTGTGTTATTGTTTTTCTTAGATAAGATGAATATATAAAAAAAAAATTAAAAATAAGAAGAAAAAAAAGGACTCGAAATATTATTATATAAAAGAATAAATATTACAATCAAGTTATCTCTTTAAATAAGAACTTGAAGATTTTGAACTGATCATTTTACATTAAGCAAGGATAAAATTAGTTTATTGAATATATGATGTTATTAAAGCATTTATTTCAGAATCAGATGATGAAATAACAACATCCATGCTTACACGAATCTACAAAAATAAATAATAATATTCAAATTAATAAACTAAGGAGAGAAATAATGGGTGGTCTAAAAATTCAAATGTGGTGGATTAATTTTTATTTTCAAATGAATTAAAAATAAGATTTTTTAAAATTGAACGAACGTAAAAAACGAAGTCGTTCGTCAAAACAAGGAACGCATTCACGTTTAAAGTTCGTCAAACATAAAAAGAATTTCGTTCATCATTTTTTCCAAAAAACTAACTTCGTTACAATATTACAAATACTAATTATTTAAAAACTTATAATATTTAAAGATCGTTATTACTACTATATTTATTAGCCATCCATTGGGTAAAATAAAACTTGTCTTGAATTGAAAATAAATACACTAGGACAGATATATAGCTAGTTTGTATAATATCTAACTCGTTTGCAAACCAACTAAATTTATATATTAGATATTACTTTATAAATGGCTAAAGTAATGTTTTATTATAAATTATTTTATTTATAAATTGATTTTAAGTTATAAAATCTTTATATATACATAATTCTAATAAGTTTAAAAGTAAGACAGGCTGAAACGGATCTTAGAGGCTTAAACCAACCCGATATAATACGAATCGAACTTATAAACATACTTACTTTTATATTCTTCTGAATTACAACGTAAACTAAACCGATATTTGCTACGGTTTGAATCCCCTCCTAAGTTTTGAAGCCGTTTTAACAGTGTTGTAATTAGTATGCTCTTTTTTTGTAGCTTTATCAATAGTGCGATGGAAGCTAGCTTTACCTAATTTAACTACTTTTAAATTATTTATATATATTCGTGGTTTATCCTTTATTTTAAAATAACACATAAAAAATATATAATGATCATTAAGTTTAAACATAATATAACTAAAATATAAAATTAACATGTAAAATTTAAAAAGTGGTGGGGGGGGGTTAATCATCTATGATTTAGTTGATTAAGCTAAGCATACATAATTAGGTTTGAGGTTAACTATTTCTAATGATATTCTTTGTCTAAAATATAGGTCTTCATTTCTCGCGATTTTCTCTAATTGACCTATGTCTTTAAAGAGGCTCTTCGGGGTTGCAGATGACTGGTACGTGGATATAATTTGATAAGTAAATTATATATTTAACAATTTTTAAATTCTGGATTATTTTTTGCATCCTTCAATACATGAGAAATCACAGATTAAGATTTTCTCTCTATCATGCGTGACGACTACACTCGGGAATTAGATTGGAAAGTTATAAGATACTGGGAACATTGATATTAGATATTATTAGTTTGAATTTATAATGCCTGTTTACAGGATTACTATCATAGTGGAAAAAATTCACTGTCAAGCTGTTATCATCAATTTGACATTTGTGTGTCTATACCATATGGTAGAGAAATAAGCATATTAAGCCTGTTACATATGACATAACTAACTGAGTTCTTCATTATTCAGTTCAAATTTGAAATTTTTGGATGGAATAATTTCTAAGAATTTATATCTCAGATCTTTAATAAAGTGGGGATCTTGCCCAAAATAAAAGTCTTAAAACAATATATATCGTTTTTTGAAGATTAGCAAAGCGGTAGCTCGCAGATCCCTGTGAATTCAATTTATTTTCAGTTTGAACCTGCCCAAACTTTTTATTTATATTTAAGCCAGATCCTGTCCTGCCTGAATCTTTATTTTAAGGGACCTGGCCCGCTTTATAAAGGAAGCAGTAGTGGATTAAAAGTAACTTTAATTGCGATCATTTTTTAAGAAAAGTACAGTTTTAAAAAATTAACTTTGAAAGTAGGGTTAAGCATATATCTAATTTCTAATTGATTTCATGTTTCAAATTTATTAGCTATCTATTCATGATTATCTGTAGTGATATAGAATTACTATGAAATATTATTTTTATATATATATATAAATATATAGGGGAAACCGGGGATTGTTCTCAAATAATTTTAAAATCAATAAACTTTGATATTTAAAATTTAAACCATAAATATATTTTAATAAGATGCTTAAATGGTTCTTAAATTGTTTTGCAGAAATATACTCATGAATTTTAAATGCAAATTTAAA